GTCACCAAAATGGTCTCTATGGCTGGCGCTAAAACAATTACTTGTGACTCCCCCTGGAGGAGTCCATGGTCACACATTTTGTTTCTTTCCCCTCAGAAGCACATACCCAGGTGTGGGTGTGTCTCTTCTACCAGAGTGCCTCTCTGTCTCCTTTCTCTCATACTGAAAGTCTGTGTTAAATTATCTCTAACAACATCTCCAGCCCTGTGTCGTATGCCTAGTTCTAAAATTATTTCCTATACTGAAGACACAAATTCTAGTTTGGTCTGAATCGAGGTCTTTAAAAGACTCGGGGAAATCTCCATGTTGCTGAAGGTGATGGAGTGGAGCTGTGTCTGTGTCCCACAGCACTGACATGACTGTTGGTTAAATCCTATGCACAAATAGACCCCTAGCATCTGTCCACCGACTGGAAAACCCTCACTAGATAACATCTGAGGCCTATAGCAGAGACTTAGATCTGCTGCAACCTGCCCACTGGAGGTTTCTATTGAAGTATTTCTAAAATGTTTCATTTACAAGTTTCTTCATTCTGTTATCATAAAAAGTCATGGAATGGTCACCATATTGGAACATGAAATTTGGGGGAACACAAATCTTCATTTTGGGGCCATGGTCACTTGTATTTGGCTCTAGAATAAATTATGGCATATTCCTTTCCACGTGAGAGCTGTGGTGTGTATGTGTGTGTGTGTGTGTGTGTGTGTGTGTGTGTGTGTGTGTGTGTATGTGTTGTGTTGACAAGAACAATTTTCCTGAGAGGGACAAAGCCCTGGGAATCACATGTTCATAAAGTCATCAGGTAAATATTGCCTTCTTAAGATGTTTGTCTCCCAGCCTTTCTAGCAGTTAGGAATGGGCAGATGACCAAGTCCTACATCAGTGGCTCTCTGCAGTCCTCATGCTGTGACCCTTTAATACAGTTTCTCACATTGTGATGATCCCCAACCTTAGAACTATTTCTGCTACTTTGTAGCTATAATTTTGTTACCACCAAAAATCATAATCTGCTTGGTTTCGACCCACAGATTGAGAAACACTGCCCTAGAGTTACTAGTTTTCATCCCTGTAACTATTCAACAAATATTTGCATGTGTTGGAGCCAGAGAGGTGATTTAGGAGGTAAAAGTTCTTGTGCCAAGTCTTGATGATCCGCGTTCCAGAACCCACATGTTTTTTTTTTGTTGTTGTTGTTGTTATTTTTTGTTTTTGTTTTTTTTGAGACAGGGTTTCTCTGTATTTTTTGGAGGCTGTCCTGGAACACGCTCGGTAGACCAGGCTGGCCTGGAACTCACAGAGATCCACCTGCCTCTGCCTCCCTAGTGCTGGGATTAAAGGCCTGTGCCTCCAACGCCCAGCAGAACCACAAGGTTGAAGGAGAGCACTGGCCCCTGTGGATTGCCCTCTGACTTCCACAGATTTGTCACACACATGCAATAAGCAATGTGAAAGTGTGCACGTGTTCTGTGTGATGCGGGAGGAGACACGCTGGGGGACACGCGTGCCTCTCCCTTCCACTGTGAAGCTATTGGACAACTGATCCAAAAGAATTAAGATTTCCACAGGAATCCCACGCTAGGTGGAGGGAAAAGCTGAAGCCTTGATGCCAGTTAGAGGAGGAATTCCCAGACAGAGACTGTACACAGCTCTGAAAACTCAGTAATGTGTTTGTTCTTGGCTTTTGTCTCATCATTTCCATAAAACTGTAAGCCTGCTCTAGAAAGAGAAACTGGAGCACATTTCTCCTAGGTTTGGCTGAACCATAAATAAATCCATTTCCATTTATCAAATCGCTTCCTAATTCCTTTCAAGACACAAAGAGTCTATAGTTGTAAGTGGCCTCCTGTAACCCCAGGGTTGCTGGCATGAATGAAGCAGGCCCAACCCCTGTCTGTGAGGAGCCAGCTTCATGGAATCAACGTGATGTGGCTCTTTTTCTTTGCTACCTGTGTATTAAAACAGGGCAAGGTTGCATCATTGGGTGGAAAAAGCAAAACTCCAGCTGAATTCTCCGATTTTCCTCTTGTTCATTCATTCCCAGAGCACCTTGGGAAATTCTCTTTTCCTGTGGATGTGTGGTGATCAAATAAGACCTAGCCACATCAAAAATGCATCAACAAGTTTCTTGTATTTCCTTCTCAAACACAGACTAGTTATGCTCTAAATGTAAAGCAAACACTACAATTTATTTAAACTGGTGACATATAAATTTGGTCCTGTAGCTAGTACACTCAAGAAGTTTCTTTTTGTGTGTGGACTTAAAATAGACCACAAGTGTATTTTGAAAGCATTCAGTCTCCAGCTTCAATTATTCCTAACAGCAGATACTTATCCCCATGGGATGTAACTTCTGACTTTAAGTTTGGAAAATATTTTTAATTTCATGTGTGCTTAGATTTGTTCACGTGAATGGGCTTTGGGGTCAGGTGAGGGGCATCAGATCCTCTGGAACTGGAGGTCAGAGGTGATCGTGAACTGACTGACATGGTGCTAGTAAACAAACTCAGGTCCTCTGCAAGAGCCGTGCGTGCTCAGTCATCTCTCCATGTCACATTTGGAAATTAATAATTCTTCATATATCCCCCCACCTCACTTTTTTTTAAAATAGCATCACTGTAAAACTTCTCGTGGATGCTTTTTGTTTTCCTTTGCTCCTAATTCTGTTGCCTGCTCCTGACTGCTAGGATTATAGGTGTGTACTGCCACAAATCTTGTCTTCGTAAGACTCAGTTCTAAGCTTGGGCATGGATAAGCTTGGGCATGGATCATGAGGCTGCACCCAGCCTGATCTACATACATAGTTGGAACCGGTCTCAAAACCGAACAAAATAGGAGCTGGAGAAATGGCTCGGTGGTCAAGAGCACTTCCAGCTCTAGTGGAGGTCCAGTGATCAGTGAATTACCTGCAGCTCTAGCTCCAGGGAATTTTTCAACCTCTTCTGGCTTCTGAGGCACTGCACACGGGTGGTGTATGCACAGATGGGAAGAGACATATGCACTAACCAGAAAGAAAACAATCAATTTACGAATTAATGTTTCCTAAAAAAGTGCTGTGTTGAAGACGGTGCAGATTGATTAACACTTCCTGTCTGTGAAGGCTGTAATGATATGGACTGAGAGCCAAACCTAAACCCTGGACTTTAGTCCTTTAATAGCACTTCTCACCCACCTCTGTAGCTAACCTAGCACTGCTTTTGACTGATAAAACCTTTGGATTTTGTAGCAGACGGCTAGCTTTCTCCAGTTCACAAGCTAACCAGGTCATCAGACAGCTTCTGAAACAGTTCCTCCGCTTTGCTGTAACCTCCCCAGTGATATCCCCACTGCCATACTGGGGAAATGCATTTTAGGTTGTGCTTGCTTTTGTTTCTCTGACTATAAAAGTGTATATAACCACTTCTGTGGCAGGACACATCACTCCATGGAATGTAAGTCTATATCTCTGGGCCATGGTCATTCATATTTGGTTCACGATAAAATTATTTCTTACTCCTTTTACATTAACAACTTCTTTACATTGTTGGGAGTGTTTTTGTTTGTTCTTATTTTTTAAACAGCATCTTAATCTGTAGTCTATGCTGGTCAGGAATTTACTATGTTAGCCAGTTTGACCTCTCAAACTTATGGTGATCCTCCTGCCTCAGCTCCCTGAGTATTGGGATTAAACTGTGAGCCACTATGCTTGGTCATAAGTCCCCCACCCCATCCCAAATTCTGGGCACTGTGTACTAGGGAGGGGGATGGCAGTTGCCTGAAAGAGTCCCACATTTTGAGCACATTCAGGCAAGCAGAGAGGATTACCAGGTGACATAAAGGAACTATACATATGTACAGAGTGTCTGCAGAGAAGACAGATAAGAAGGTAAGCAAAGACCACCTCCCAGGATGGGTGACAAGGGAACACAATTTTAAAGGATGACCAGGAATTTTCCTTCTGGTCAGGCCTGGAAAGGCAGCTTCCAAGGAGAGTGAACAACACATGCTGAAGGATGGAGAAACATCAGGATATTGCAAGAGCCTAAAAGCAATTTGGTGCTGTGTATAAATGGGGAAGCATGGAGATCAGGAGGGACCAGGAAACTGTGGATGAGAAGTTTTAAGACAGGTGAGGACCATGTGCCAAGAATTGGAATGTCATTCCCAATAACTAGGAGAGATGGGCAGCCTACATGAGACCTTCTGAGTAACTTGGAATTGGCTTGTTTGACTTGCTGAGTGAGATCTGGTCTGCACTGTTAGGTTTTCCTGAAACACCATAGCCCAAGCTGTCTTTGCTCATAAGGCAGTCTTCCTGCCCCACTATCCCAAGTGCTGGAATGACAAGTGTGAGCCACTGTGACTAGCTTTGGAACATTGTTTCATGATTGTTTGTGTGTATGCCATGATATGCCCATGTGGGTCAGATCCGACTTTCCAGGAGGTGGCTTTCTCCGTCCACCATTCTCAGGCCTGCACAGGAACTTTTATCCTGTGCCATCTCCTGGGGTCTGTCTCCCTGTCTGTCTCTGTCTCTCTTTCTTGCAGACCTGATACTCTATTTCTCTGTTTCAGTTTCCTTAGTGCTGAGATTACAGCCCACATCAGCATTCTACCTGGAAATGGCTTTTGTTAGCCAGAGTGAGAAAAAAATAGAGAAAGAGATTGAAATTCAGTCATAATGGGGACAAGGCAGTGATAATGGAGTTGAAAGATGGGCTGGACTGACTTACTGGAGACAAAACTTGTTCAGCTTTGGTGGAGGTGGATTAAAACAGACACATCCCAGAACGTCTATGTTTTGCATCTATTATTTGGTACACAGCATAGTACTACATGCATCAAATGCCCAGAAACAATTTGATCATAAGCAAGTCTCTGTGGCATTATCTGTTCTTGAGTTCACTTTGTTTCCAATTATAATTCCCTTTGGGGAGCCATAATCTTCTGGGGTTTTACTCAGTTTCCTTGTGTATTTCCAGTCTTAACATTCTCAAGTTCTTTTGCAAGCAGAAAACGAAAGCTGTTTTTCAACCATGTATTTATCCAGGAAGGCAGCTGTTTGAGAAGACTGTCATGACTACAAACCCAGAGGGCAAGGCAGGTCTTAACCACACATGGGCACAAGCATCACCACCATGTTTCTTAGTGTCTCAAGCCATCTTAGAAGAGTGTGCATCAACATAAGCACAGATATTTTTCTTGGGAATTTTTCTAGGCTGCTGAGAGCAGCTCAGTCTGTTTCTACATTCTCAAGGAATAGGAATAACACATACAATCAAAAGTACTTGCTTCTGTATTTGAACTCTGGAATTACACAGCAAGAAAACTTGAATTCTTCCACTGATATGACAGCAATTCTTTAAAGCTATCCTAAGGATTGAAAAGTGAGCAATCAAATGGATTTTGAAGAGATCATGTTAAATGATCAAAAATTTGGGAACTTGATTTGATGTTTATGTGATAGCCATGGTGTCTGAAGAGTTTGAAGCCACCTGTTGCTGGACCTCAGAGATCTCATGTTTTTAAATGGCCATCAAAAGGTTGTTACTTCATGATATGTGACGATGATCTGAAATTCAGATATTAAATGTCCCTAAAGACAGTTTTCCTGGAGCACAGCTTAGTCATTTATTTTGAACTGACTCCACGCATGATCCCATGGTAGTCTGGACAATCCCAACAGAGTCTGTTTTTAACTCAAAAAGCCTGGGGGGAGAAACCTGGCTGTTGATAGAGACTATTTAGTGGTCTGTGTTCTGAGGGTTTTTCTCTAAAGAAACACAAGCATAGTGTTTTCCCACAAGTAAAGATTGTCATTTACATTCACATGTTACTATAGAATGTAGGTTAACTGTCATAGAATGGACATAGTTTTATTATGTTTAGAATGCTTGTTTTCACTCGGTCAGTGGAGCACAGTTATTAAGAATATATGCTTTAAGGTCATTCTTATTTTTCAATCTTGATCAGCTGTCTGTGACCTTGAGTATAGCCTTTTGGAAGCCTCAGACGTCCTTTAAAATTAAGGGATGGCTGACACCATCTGGTAGAGTTCTTAAGTATGATGTGGGGGAGATACATTAGTTACCGGGCACAAGGTAAGTGTGCAATTCATTTTGGTTACAATAATCATCATGCGATGGAGCTACTCACTTTTTGATGTTCTACACACAGCATTGCCTGTAACAAGGAGCTGCTCCACGAGGCTCTGCTTGTATTCTTTTGCACACAGTGCCCTCCCTGTGAATTACCATCTGCAGAAAGTGCCCATGAATGCATAATCTACGAACACCCTTGACCAGCATGGAAAAAGAGTTTAGGAAGCCCAGAAACAGAAAGTCACAGGGTTGAAGAGAGCCAGGCAGCTGTTTGCAGCTGGTGAGCAAGATATTGGGAAATTTCTAAATGGTAGACTCTACTCCTACTTTTCTTATGGAGAGTCTGAGCTTCTTGGATGACTCATGGATGAAAGCTTTGCTCTGATTTAGCAGCTAAAGTCTTTATTTTATTATTTTTTTTAGAGTGGATGAAATCTTTGTATTTTGTGTTAGGGTATCATTACAATTTTTCTTTATTTATTTCCTATCAGAAAGGCTCTTAAGAGAATCACGAGGGTGCGATGCTTGGACACGAGCTCCTTCCTTGTGATTTGATGCTGTCCTCCACCTAGGCTTCCTCTGCCCAGGATCATTGTTGTTATGGTCTCTGCAAAGGAGCCAGAGCCCAGTGAGCATGCGCTCTGTCAGCCTTGAGGCTGCAAATCCTGACATAGGTCCTGAGCATTCACAGGAGAGATGGTCTTTCGACTCCCCAGAGGTACTGTGAAAGAAACTACAAGCCCCTTTTCACGCTCTTTACAGATTTCCTTCTTAAACCCAATTGAAAGGGGAGAGACCTCCCATCCCAGCCCCAACAACTCTCTGGTTCCTGAGAGTGGGTCAACTATCAGAATTTCTGAAGAAAGCAGGGGTCTCCAGCAGAATCCTTACAGGTCCTCTGTCCTGTCCACTTTAGAAATCATGTTAGAGTGTTCATCAGATCTCACTTCCTTCCCCTTCTGCGTTTGAAGTCTTGAAATACCCTGGAGGAAAATGCTTTTGAATTCTCCCTTTGCAGGATCTGTCCATTGTACTCAGCTAGTTAAGAGCAGCACAGCAGACTCCAGCATCCCTACATACTCAGGTTGGAAACAAAGTTAGGACAAAACACACACACACACTCGAACCTCAGCCAATGTGATGGTAGCCCCGGGGCAGGGCTAATTGCCATGGAGCCCACAGGCGGGCTCCGTTTACTGGAAGGAGTAGCTCTCATCGTCATACTCCAACTCATCATCTTCTGCCTCATCCAGCAGTCCGTACTTGAACTTCCGGTAGACAGTGCCATCTTGGCCCATGTAGACGATGTCATCCTCATCATCTTCATCATAGTCTCGGTCCCTGTACTCGATCACCTGGTCCTCATCAAGATAGCTGCTCCTGTAGGAGGAGTATGACACGGTCGGTTCGGTCAACTTTTCGTAGCGCCCTTTTGCTACAGGTCGGCTTCGAGACTTTCGCCACACGACCACAGCGGCCCCCAGCAGCATCAGCAGCATGACACCCGAGGTCACCAGCAGGGCAGTCTTGGTGCGCTCCGAGGGCACGGTCTTGCTGGCTGGAAGGATGCACTCCTCTGATACAAGGCCACCCCGGAGGCAGCAGCAAGGGAGAAAGAAGAAACAGAAGTGGAAAAATCAGATTCTGAAGTAAAGAACTGCTCCTCCATTTTTTCCCCAAACCTATAAAATGGTAGAATCATTGTTTTTTTTGTTGTTGTTGTTGTTTTTGTTTTCTTAGGAGGCACACCACTTTACAAAAAATCAGTATGTAGCCCACAAGAGTCCCAATCCATATTTAATAAAACCAACTGATTCTACTAAAATGGTAAATTTAAGATTCCAAAGGGACCCCAGATCCCTACCTCATGGACCAGTCTCTAAGGATCCAAACTTCTCAGTGATTTTCCATTCCTGAGATGTGTGTGTGTGTGTGTGTGTTTCCCCTTTAGTTACTGCTAAACAAGAACGCTGTTTTTCTAAGATGGAGATGTCTCCTTAACTATCTTTTAGACTGGTCTTACCTTTCAAGACCAACGAAGCATACGTTTATAAAGCCTACTGACTCTTAGTCATGTGTGGTCTTGGAAATTATTTGGGCCAACTTGTTTGTCATAGACAAGAACTGGTTTGTGTAACAAGTGGACTTTCCAGGCCATTAACCTCAACTCCAGGTGGGATTCTAGAGGCAAATTCTCTGATCACATGTTTGGTTTCTTTGGATAGCCATGGTACTCCCTGAATGAGAAAAGGAATGCTTTATTATCTTAAAATCCTGACTGTCATTTTAAATAGCAAGGGGTTTATAGTGTAATTGAAATTATTGAATTCCAGGACCCTTCCTTTTCTTATTTATCAGCCCATTTTCAGGGCTTCCCTGAGGGTGTTGCAGAACCAAAACAGTGTACGACATAAAGGCTTTAGTTGATTTTTCTCATTTTATTTTCATTCATTCGGGCAGTATGATTTGAGTTGCTTAACTAATTTTATTACCTTTTCTTTTTAACCCACTATACAGTAAGGCAAAAAAAGTATAAAACAACTAGAGGAATAGGTGTCTGCCCAGTTGGATGTGCAGATTTTAATACACAGTAGGCTCTTCCTTCCCTCCCCTCCCCTGCTCCTCTTTCATGTTCTTCTACTCCTCCACAAGGACCTTGCAAGCACTCCTGCAACTCCTGCAACTGAGTAACCCCTCTACACACACATGCACACACACACACATAGTGGCATACATGCATGCACGCACTCACTCACTTTTACTTTGATGATGTTTAAATTCTATTTTATTCTAACAGGGTTTTGCCCATCAAGCAAAAAATGTTTCCTCTAAAGTAACAGTATTGTCATTATTGTATTCAACATTTCCAGTGTCAGCACAGACTCTCTGTTTGGAGGAAATACAAACACACTAGAAGGACAGATAAGTAATCTGTCTGTGACTCTACTGTGGAGTAGGAGAATCTACTGTGGACCTTTGGAGGTTGTTTTTTTCATCGTGCCAAATGCACTCACATCTTACTATTCTTAGTCTTAGGTGCTGGGTCAGGGTCAACTTCTACCATTTGGTTTTTCTGGAGGAGGAAGTTGTTTCAGAAACAAAGACACAAGTAAGTTTGACTATCTGGGCTTGTTATTTCTCCCCATACACATACTGTGGTACCTTTCCACCATGGAGTTGTATCCTTAGCCCAAGAGGATTAGCACATTTTATTGGTAGGGTTTGCCCCAGATAACTCTTTCAGAGCCTCTTAGGAACCAGGAAAGCTATCAAATTATTTCTTAGAACTGACATTTCAGAAACTGTACCCAAGAGGTTCAGGCTCTGTTTTCATTTATGAACATTGATATAACAGGGTTCTTGCTCTCAGCTGTCAGCCCAGCATCAGACCACGAGGGGTATGCAGATAAGGGCCTGGGAAACCAGCTGCTCTTGGTGGGTAAAAGCTGAGGAAGGGAAGAGCTAGTTCTTGGAAAGGTGATACCTGGAAACTAATTGAAAGCCTGAAACAAACAAACAAAAAGTACAAAACTGGTAACAGTTTTGGGTCTCTGATTTTCTTTACCTACAAAGAGCAAACATATACTGATTTTGATCAGGTGTGACACATCTGGAGGAGAGAATATATTTTAACAATGTGTTTTTCACTTAGAAGGGATCATTCCATTCACAATCTTCAAGATTTTTTGAAGATGTACTCATTTTTATTTTCATGTGTTGAGTAGTTTACATTGGTGGTTCAGTGGTAAGGTTCTTGTCTAGCACATGTATGTATGCATGAATGTTTTGCCTGCATGCATATATGTGCACTCCATGTGCATCTTGTGCCTCAGTAGACCAGAAGAGGACACTGGATCTCCTGAAACTGGAGTTCCACCAATGTGAGCAGCCATATGGAAGTTCTCAAGCCCTGAGCCATCTCCGGGCCTTGGATCTTTCTAGGTTTTAATATACACGATGGAGCGTAATTGAAGACTTGGAATTGGTAAAGTTGTGTCACTTATTCTTAGCTTTCAGTGAAAGTCCATTTCTAAAATGTTCTAACAGAATGGCTCGATTTGAGTTAGATTAGAATGATTCTTCAATATTATCAAGATAACCAATTCCTTACCCCTTTCCCTCGGGAGCAAAGATAAAAAGGAACAAAATATATTTTTAAAGGTCAACTTCTAGACTTAGCTAGGCTGGGGGCAGCATAGTTGTAGAAAGAATGTGGGGCTCTGTGGCTTTGCAGTCCAGCAGGCCTATGCTTAAATTCCAGATGAGCATCTGGGGTATGCAAGTGTGTGCATGAGCATATGTGATTTTTGTATGTATGCATGTATGTATGTATGTATGTATGTATGTATGTATGTTTTTTCAAGACAGGGTTTCTCTGTATTGTTTTGGAGGCCCTCCTGGAACTCACTCTGTAGACCAGGCTGGCTTTGAACTCACAGAGATCCGCCTGGCTCTGCCTCAAGAGTGCTGGGATTAAAGGCATGAGCCACCAATGCCCGGCCCTTTTTTGTTTTTTTTTTAAGATGAAGTCCAGTCTCAAAAAGCTGAGGTGGCCCAGATGACCTCAAACTTGCTATTTTGCTGGGAGTGGCCCTGAATCCTGATCCCCATTTCTCTGTTTCCTAAGCACTCAGACTCATGGACACAGTACCAAGCCTGTTCTAGATATCCCCTCTCTTAGTACTGCTGTGGACTTGATCATGCTAGCCCAACCTTTGGGCCTCCGTCTCTTTGCTAACAAGAAGGGGGTCTGTTTGCTTAAAGTTTGAACCTGAGATATTTCCCCAAAGATGTGGGTCTTGGCTGCCAGCTGATGAGCTTTTGGGGAGTGACAGGTCCTGAGGGGTTGACCTAGTCTAATGGATGCATCTGTTGATGGATATATAATATTGTGGGAACAACAGACCTTGGCCAGAAACCCACTCCTCCATCAGCCTGGGAGCAGGCAGCTGTGAGACTATGTTTACTGAAAACAATCCAGTGCCCTAAGAAATGTTTACCGGAGCCATAAGTTCCTGATAAGGGCTTGCTCACTGAAACACTCTGACTTTGATCTTCCTAATGGCTAGCCACTTCTTCCTGCCCACTGCTGTTGCCAATTCTGGTGTCAGGGATTTAACCACAAGCCAGGAGGAGGAAGAGATGTGTGTGCGTGTGTGTGTGTGTGTGTGTGTGTGTGTGTGTGTGTGTGTGTGTGTGGTGTGTGTGTGTGTGTGTGTGTGTGTGTGTATGGCAGAAGCTTTTCTGGAGGGAAGCATTTCTTGGGAAGTTCTCCTGAGCCTTCTTGGGGAGCATAAAGATTTCTAATGCAACCGACTGGTCTCTGTGTCATCAATCCTGACACCCTTGCCACATTCTCGGATATAGGCTGTGCAGCGGGCGCCGTAATTGGAGGTCCCACCGAGATGATGAAAGCGAGGTAAGTAGGCGGGTTCGTCCCTTTTGCCAGCCAGGGACTAATTGTGGAAAATAAAAAAGAAAAGATGGGGAATAGTTCCGGGAAGCTTGAATTACGGTATCAAGTAAGAAAGTTACTTAAAGGACAGGGGACTACAGTCCAGGCTAATACCATGGAAGGCTTTCTAAAGTGGATTGAACGAGTGAGTCCATGGTTCATTACTGGGGGAGGCTTAAATGTCCCAGATTGGGAGGAGGTTTGCTAGGATCTTCAGAGAGTCGGGTGTTGGTGGCCTTTAATCCCAACACTCGAGAGACAGAGGTAGGTAGGATGGAGGCCATCCTGGTCTATAGAGTGAGTTCCAGGACAGCCTCCAAAACAATAGAGAGAGACCCTGTCTCAGAAAAAAAAAAGGTTAAAAAAAATCTCCAGTCTTTCGCCTGATCCACTGAGGTCAGGAAAGTAAAGAGGAACTAAGAGATCTAAAAGGCTGGCCAGCAAGTAAGGCTATGAGGATGTAAAAAAGGGGTACCGAGCTAGGGGTACCAGATTAAATCTCCAGGCCTTCACCCCATAAGGTGGGCATGGCATAATATGATTCCATTATTTTTAGGTGGTGAAAAATAGGTATTGGGTTTTAGGTGGAGGAAATAGGTTCCTGGGGGCATGCCCTGGAAAGACATTGTCACAAACTTCTCTGCTTCCTGACTGTCACGAGGTGAGCTGTGATGCTCTTCCACACGCTTTCTGCCATGATGCTGAGGCTTACTGTTGTCTAAAAACAACAGACACAGATCTCTGGAATAAAGTCTCCTTTAAATACTTTTCCTCAGGTATTTTGTCACAGCGAGGAAAAACAAAGACAACTTGTGAACAGGAGGTTTCAAGCGTAGTAGCACATAGCAGGTACTTCATGAACCATCCATACTCCTCCCACGTTGCTCCCCTCCCATCAGCTTTGTGAGGACAGCCCATGCCCTCACCTGTGGTACTCTGGCAGTCACAGCAGTCCGGGGATCTGTGGGCGTGGGAAGCGTTGCAGCAGGGGAGGCAGCGGCTGTCATCCATGTGCAGCAGCAGGTCAGCTGGGCACACGGTGCAGTTCTTGGCTCCGGGTCCTTTGCACTCCACGCAGCTCTCGTGGCATTTTTTACAGTTAAACTTTTCTCCCTGTTGAGAACAGTGAGAGGTTGTTTTTGAGAGCACAGGTAGAAATCTGGAACTGGAGTTCTCCAATGACTCTTGTCGTTATGAATAGGGAAGAACGTGAGTGTGTGTGTGTGTGTGTGGTAGTGTTCTACTCCATTTAAAAAATGTGCAATGGTGTTTTGCCTGCGTGTATGTCTGTGTGAGGGTATAGGATCCTCGGGAACCAGAGTTACAGACAGTTGTGAGCTGCCATGTGGGTGCTGGGGCTTGAACCTGGTTCTCCTGGAAGAGCAGTTAGTGCTTTTAACTGCTGAGCCATCTCTCTAGCTTACTGTTCTACACCATTTTATCTGTGCTGGGCAAAAGACCAAACCAAATGTGTACAACTGGAGGAAGCTTCTGCTGGGCCCTGGTCTCAGAAATGGGCTTGGTACAATAATAGGAGAACATTAAGCTTCCTGAGTGTTTGGTTATCATGTAACAATCTCCTGACTCAAAGACAGTGGGAGTCAAGGACAAGCTGTGCCTGAACTTTGCTATACACCTATGCAGTCTAGACATTTCTACAGTACTCCACATTGTAAAAGTGATACTCTAGACATAAGTTAGCTCCTACTTCCTTCTCAAAATCTAGCTCTGTTAAAGCTGAAGCCATCACCCTCACATCAGGATCAGAGTAGAATGGCAGCAGCCCTTTCTTATCGTTCTCCAATTTGATGCAATTCCCCGTATTTTGTATTCTGTCATCAACACATAGGTGACACTTTTGTGGGTATGTGTACTTCTTTTCTTCTTGTTGTTACGGAGCCTGGGCTAGTTTCAAATTCACGGTCCTCCTCCTTTGACCCTCGGCCTTCTGAATGTTGGGATTAGGTTTCTACTTTCCACAAAGTTAGTGCTACGGTTTTCTTTGGCTTTTACACTTTTATATTAACTCCCTGCTTGCCCTCTGTTGTTCCTGGATTCTGGTGCCCAGAGTCAGAGTTCAAAGTCCAAGGCAACAACTGTCTCCTTGCCTGGTGCTAGAAATGCAGGCTAGGGAAAGATACCTTATCTTAAAAATTATTATTGTTGTTGTTGTTATTATAGTATGTGTACAGATGCATATATAACAAGGCATGCATGTGGAGGCCAGAGGACAACTTTTAGGAGTTGGTTCTCTCCTCCCACCATGGGATCTGAGTGTCAGGGGCCTTCGCCATAATTCAGTCATAGCACCATTACATCCTCATAGAGAAGATGTGACTCCAGGTCATACTGCTGAAATACCACCTCTTAAGATAGGAAGCAAGTTCCAAGAAAACAGACCTGCAGCTTACCTGCCTAGTCACTAGGACGTAGGCTTGCACGATAGAAGGAGAATGTGAAAGATAAAGTTAGAATCTGCAGTTAGGTTACCAGAGGACACAGGATGACCTACCCATCCCACTGACCTTTGCTCCGCCAGGCTCATTGCAGCTGCAGCACATCCCCATCCCTTCCCCTCCTCCCATCCCTATATTTGGGATGAGATACAGGTTGTCGGCTTGATCAGAATCCTGTCTTGCCATCCTTCTTCGTATCTCCTGTCCCCCATCTTTCTCCTAGGTTTCCCCAGTCCCCACGTTGAATGTCCCGCGGGTTGGGGCATCTGAGGACTGCACTCAAGTTGCATGTTCAGCAAACATGTTTACCTACTAAGCCATCTCACTGGCCCAGAAGAGACTTTCCTTCTGTGCATCTGTAATTTCAGTGGAATGGAAGAGGAGGAAGAGAAGCAGAAAGGTTGGCTGCTCGGTGGGGCAAATGTTAGGCACCACTGAAAATAGATACACAAAAAGGAAAGAAAAAGAGGAATGGAGATTCCATTTCTTGAGGCACTTTGGAGTGTCTTAGATGCTGATAGCATGTTTTCAGCTGTTATTGTCAAGTCTTCAGGATGTACTTCTCCCTGTGTTACTTCCTATCGTGTGGTAGTTAACAAATTACTTAATTTCTCTGAGCCTGCCTCTGTGAACTATAATTCCGATATCAGAGTTCGAAGAGTTTACATGTAAATATGCTGATTTGTTTTAATTTCACAACTGATGCATTTTCTTAAGGTTTCAAGTCTAGACACACAATCAAGAAGTGAAGAGGTTTGGGAAGTCTGTGGCTCCGGGAAAAGGCTGTTATCCTGCCTGGGAGGAAAGGAAAGGAAAGGAAAGAGCTGGACCAGTAAGTTCCCTCCTGTGTCTGCTCAGACAGCGGCTGCAAAGAGAACAGTATTTCTGCAGACCTTCCTGTGGTCACAGAACCGCTTCAGGGCTCAGGTTACTTAGATCCTTTCAGATCCTGTGAATCAGGGGGAAGCTTCGGGTTGGTAGCTTGACTCTTTTATGAATGAAAGAGATGTTACAATGTTAAAACTCGGCTGTGATGAGTGTAGGAATTCAGACTGCCTTAGATCCTTTCTGTTCCTGTGAATCAAGTGGATGATGGGTTGGTAGCTTGACTATTCTATGAATGAAAGAGATGCTACAGTGTTGAACCTAGGCTGTGATGAGTGTAGGAATTTATACTGTTTCCACTTCCCAGAATGACATGTAGGAACTGAGCTCCATAAGGGTGGGGGTGGGGGTGCTTACACCAACCAAAGGTCTCAGTACCTCTCCATCTCTGTATTCCCCTACAAGACATTCCGGGACACAGATTCCTCTCTGAAGGTGGTAGCTCCACACACAGGATAAGCAATTCCATGCCTCCTTTCCTGAAAGAGAGGGAAGAAAAAAAAAAAAAAAAGAGAGTCATGTTATGAGACAGATTTCATATTCTAACCCCTGCCTTGATGTCAGAGCACTTGGGAGCAAGGAAAATGTCAAGTAAATGGAAGCTGAAAGGTGACTGACAGTGTGACAAGAGTCTACAAGACAAAGTAAGGGCTTACAGATTGCTCGGTCCGTTCCACGAACAAAACTCTCAGTCTGTTCGCTGAGAATTTGAAGGCAAAAGATGGTGTGTCACGGCAAAAGGTCTTTAGAAAATGAGAAATCTTATGGGATGCTTCTGAAACCTAGAGGCCAGGCTGTAGCTTGTAGTAGACTCCCGCCCAGCATGGGGCATGCACAAGGAAAGCCCTGGGCTCCTTTTCCAGGACCGGAAAAGGAACATTTACGAGCCTCCTCCTCCTATCGCATCAAACATTGTAGTTTCCTTGAGGATCCAAAACTCCCTTTACTCGATAGTTTGAAATATGCATTATTATGTACATAGCCTCCTTTCTGGGCGGCAGGCTACCAGACCTCTCCCTGTGTGACTGGAACTCTGGACTGCTCCCTTCCCAATCTGGCTCAAGTCCAGACCCAAGGCAGTATTCGGTGGTGTACATGCCAGCCTTGATGAAAATCAGTACTTTGTGACATGTCCTGCTTTGCTGTATTGTAAACCTGGCACACAAAGAGTTAATTTCCTGTTTTGTTTTGTTTTCCCCAAAGCTAAGAGCCTGTGCCTGTTTCTGCTTCTAAGGAGCCTCGAGGCTGGAAAGACAGACCTTTTGATATCTCCTTAAAACTCAGAACAGCTCACCGTCTGCTTTTCCTCACACCAACTTCTCCCCAAGCCAGCCCCACAAATTCAACTGCTGCAGGGTGGCCCTGGGGTGTGTCTGTGAGAGGTGCTGTGCAGGAAGAGGCAGCTTGAGAAAGTTCAGGGCTCACAACTGTACGAGGAGGATAATTAAATGTGTTAAGGGACACAGTAACTCTAGAAGCACCAGCTGCATGCAATGGCAATGGTGTAGATTAGGTAAGTGTGTGATGCCCCTCCCCCAACTCCCAGAGCTTCAGGTTTTTCTCTTCCCTCCCTGCCTTCCTCTCCTCTCGCCTCCCTTCTGTTCCCACCCTTCTTCCTTTTCCCAACAGGCTGTCACTGAGTAGCCCGTGCTGACTTCAAACTTTCATAATACTCCTGTCTCAGGCCTCTTTCTAAGTGCTGGACTTAGAGGTGCGAGCCACTGTGCTCATCAGATAGTTTTCTTTATAGCAACTAGAATTATTGGACAATCGAAAGTGGATGAAACACAGGCACAAATGCCAAACTCTTCTAGATGTTTTCCCCTTACGTCTTTGTTTCATAGTATGACAGTTAATGTTTCAGAAATTTTTACTCGTTTTTTTTCTAATCAATTTATAGCCTAAGGTGGGGATCCCCAAATTTCCTAATCTCTGTGTTACAAAACCGGAGTTAGCACAAGAGTCACTGACTAGCAAAGTGTGTGTGTGCTACGTGAAGAAAGGGAGCAGAGGAGACCAACAGTGAACGCCAAGGGAAGAAGAAAATGATAGCTGTGTGAATTCCAGGACCCAAGCCTCAAGCAGGAAGACCAAGGAGAACACAACTTGTGGGCTTTCTCCAGATCCACCCAGTCACCCCTGAATCCTGTCTTGGGGATCCTGTGTTCATGAACTTGGGCAGGGAATGCTCAAAGCTGCCACCCTTAATTTGGCAGAGAATCTCCAGGCCAGTAGAGAAATGTCGAGTCCTTCCACTGTCCCCAGACATCATAAATGGTATCTCCAATCCACATGCAAACGTTCAGCTTTGGCTGGTGCTTGGCTCTGACTCGCCTCTGTTAAGAGACATTAATTTACCTAATGATGGTTGCCTGTTTTTAATTAGAAACCAGCTAGCCTCTGCTGGCCCACTGCACAACACTAATGGATAGAAACTCAGCTGTCTGGCTTAGCAAATGACAATACAGTCATTTGCTGACATCTCACTTTTATCACACTTAGGTGTGGGTGTGACTAGGTATTTTAAGTTCTTGCTTTTTTGACTTCCCTACTATGATGATAAACTATAACTTGGAATTGTGAGCGCAAATCAACTCTTCCTCCCCTTAAATTTTTTTGGGGGGTCAGGATATTTTTTAGCATAGCAACAGTTTCCAAAAACAAAACCAAGAACAAAAATTACACCAGGTAAACTGACCTGGCTTCCAGGGACCTGGTCCACTTTGTTCATAATTGTATGGACATTGTCTGGGACACAGAGCTGAATAAATATTTGTTGAGTAAATAAATAGAGGGATGGATACACAGAACTGTAGGGGAACACTGGATGGGAGGCTGGGGAAAGGCTTTTGAGAAAGCATACTGAGTGTAATGGAGCAGAATGAGTCCTGGCAGAGCAGGCTGAAGGAGTATTCTGGAGCGAGGCAGGAGGCAAGGTTGGTTCAGATTTATAGTAGGTCACAGTGCTTGGGCTTGAAGACGGAGGAAGTGGTAGTGAGAGATGAGGGAGAAGGTTAGGAATGGTCATGGGGGAGGAGCTTCATATGCAAATATCGAACACTAGGCAGGGCTGTATCTGCTGTGCAATATCAATCAGACAGCATGGAGGACTGGTTGCCCACTAGGTGGCTCATACTGGGGACAGGAAGACCACTTAGCCAACTGGCACTAATTAGTAATTCAAGCCACAAACTGCTTTTCCAGAGGGTGGGGGTTTGATTACCAGCACCCCGTTAGTTGCTCCCAACCTTCTATAACTCAAGTTCCAGGGTATCTTATGCCTCCCTTGGTGTTTGTGGGCACTGCATGCACTTGGTACACTAGCATACAGGCAGTCAAAGCACCACATAAAATAAAAATGCATTGCTGAGCATGGTGACATATGCCTTCAATGTAAGCATGCAGGAGGCAGAGGCAGGCAGATTCCTGTGAGGTCAAGGCCAGCTTGGTATACATAGTACATTCCAGGCTAGCCAGAGCTACATATTGAGACCTGGTCTTAGAAATAAATAAAACTCAAATGTGAATTTTTATATGGCTTGATACATCCTGAGCATACTGAGATGGGAAAACAGCAGAGAAAACAACAAAAGAGATTTAGGCTAAACTATTTAGATGAAGTCTCTTCAATCCAGAAAGCACAACTGAACAGTGTTGGGATCAAGCACCTGCCTGATCTGCCAGGACGGGAAGTGGGCAGATCTCTCTCTATCTCTCTGTCTCTCTGTCTCTGTCTCTGTCTCTGTCTCTCTCTCTCTCTCTATCTCTCCCTCCCTCCCTCCATTCCTTCTTTCCTTTCTTTTCTCTCCTCTTTCTTCTTCCTTCCTCCTCCTTCTCCTCTTCTCTCTCCATCTTCTTCAGAACCATAACAGGAACTAAAAGTGTTTCACAAGAGACTGGAACCAAAGCCCAGGTTCAGGACTTAAACAGGAGTTAGGGAGGGACTCTGCTGTCACAGACAAGTCCTTCCCCACTCTACTAACTGGTTTGTTGATGTGATCTGTACTACCAAGAAAGTCACCTCCAGGAAAAATGGACTTTCCTAGTCTGATTGGAGTTTCTGGTGGGAGGCATGGGTGGAGTAAACCAAACAACAGGCTTTATTATTTAAAGACTAGTCAAACACAATTAGTCTTTAAAAAATGGTGATGGAAATCTTTCCCTATTCAGAACTCCTAATTCAGCCTTAATTCTTATTCTACACATTCTAGAGTCAAGAATCACCTACAGCTGCATGGAACCACTCAGCAGCCACCTAATATGCCACTTCCTATATATTCATTTTCTTATCAAGTGTTGTATTAAAAACAACAAAATGGGCTACAAAATGAATACCATATAACCCGGATAATCTTTACTCTTGCTGAAGGGGCTCACAGTTGGAGAGATGGACACATTTAATTAAAATGTAATGTAAGACTGAGAATATAACTACCCTGGGCTAACCAGGGCACTGCTTGAGTGCATTCTTTCAGGCGACAGGGGCAGGCCAGCATAATGCCTGAACCCTTACACTGGGGACATGAGTGAGCTGGTAGATGACCTGCCTAGTATATGCAAAGCCCTGGATTCAATCCCCACCACCTCATAAACGGGCCATGCTGATGGATGGCTGTAATTCCAGAAATTTGGGAAATGGATTCAGGAGAATCAAAAACTCAAGGCTGTCTTCAGCTACATTTTTCTCAGAGGTAAGGCTGGAGAAACATTTCTGAGCATCTTCCAGTTTGATAAAAGGAATTATTTACTTCCTATACAGTCATTTCCTTATTCAACACTTAGGGAGCACTTATCAGGTGTTATATTAAAGAAAGCAGGCCTACAAAAATGAATGCCATGTAACCGTGATAATCCTTGCTCTTGCTGGAGGGGCTCACAGTTAGAGAGATGGACATATTTAATTAGAATATAATGTAAGGGTGGGACTATAACTCCACGATAGGTAGTATGCTTGCCTAGCATAAATATGGTCTTAAGTTTAATTCCCAGCACTGGAAAAAAATCACGTAAAAAGCTTTGGCCAAACACTGAACTACAGAATTGGGATAGAGGGAGAAGCCTGCCAGGAGGACCAAAACTAGATCTCTACGATGATGTCCAAGGTAGGTGTCGGAGTCCCCAGGGGTTTGTTCTCGAGGAAGGGTAACTAGATCACAGGGGGATATGTGAGAGAGGACATATTGGATGGCTGCTGAGTGGTTCCGAGTAGTTGTAAGTGGTTCTTGGCTCTAGAATGTGTGGAATAAGAATTAAGACCAAATTAGGGGATCTGAATAGGGATTTTTATCATCACTTTTTAAAAAGAATAGTTGCGTTTGGCTTTGTCTTGGGTCTCTGTGATGTCTAGTATCTGGTTCTTGGTCACCCAAGCAGTGTAAGATATGGGTTCTGTCTCATGGAGTGGGTCTTAAGTCAAATCAGACATCGGTTAACTCTTCCACAAGTTCTGTTGCTCTAGCATATCCGCAGGCAGGACAGATTGTAGATCAAGGGTTTTGTGGCTGGGTTTGTGTTTACATTTCTCTTTTGGTAGCTTAAAGACACTAGAACATAGGGGTAAAGGTTCTATGTAGGCACCAGCTCAACTTCTCCATGTTCAATGAGTCATGAGAGTATTGTCCTCAGCAGAGGGACCCAACTATCAGTTTGTGGTTAGCAACACATTGTCTTGGCAACAGTCCGGATTGTTTGAGGATTTCCATGGGTTGGGACTACTTCTCCCCCATTATTAGGGGACTTTATTAGGATAGTCTGTATATATTTTAGGAGGTTTCCGCTGTGCTAGGTTTTCATACCATCCCTCAAATGACCCTCATTCCCAGATGTTCTTCCCCATATCCCCTTCCTCACCCCTATTCCCTTTCCCCCTCCTCACTCAATCTCCTATTTCCATCCACTCAGTCCACCCATAAAACTATTCTAATCCCCAACCCCAGCAATGACCTTTAAAAATGGAAACTGGGCTTGATGGTACATTCCGGCAGGCAAATGCTGAAGAGGATAAGGCACAGGCATCACGTGTTTAAGGACATGTGTTTAAACCAGGGTTACATCTCTACACAGGTGGGATAACAGCATATGGAGGGGAAGCATGTTCGCCATATGCTTGCACAAAATGTCCTTATTGTTAAACTTAGGATAATACATAACAAGGTGATGCTAATCAATACCCTAAGAACTGTTAGAAATGTTTCTAGAAGGTCTGAGAAAGCCAGCCAGGGCTGTTTTGAAAAGGGGAACAGGAATGTGCACTGCCGTCTCTTATGTCGATTCACTCTGACCATCTTTTCTGGCAAGATGCAGAGAAACGAGTACTCCAAAGTTTCACAATGGCTGTGCTAGGATAACCCGCAGGAGGGAGCAGAAGGCCCCAGGGACCTACAAGCTGCTTCCAAAGGCCTGAGAAGGGATCCTGGGCATGTAATGAGGACAGGAAGACTCCAAAAGGACATCTAATGTGAGGAATACTTAGGACTGGGCCCACAGGTCTTGAAACTCACCTGTGTTGTAGGTAAGTGGGTTCAGTAGGAGGCAAGGGACAGAGTAGTATCAGGGATAACATCAAGGTGCTGCCCTAGGCAGTGGTTGAATGGTGATCCCACCAACATTGATTTTATGATCTCTGGCATGAGCCAATATCAGGAAAACAATTTTGGAGCTTGGGAGAGCTTGAGGCAGATGTCTTAGGGAATTTTTAAACTGATGAATGGATTTTCCTAGACAGGTGCTATCAGTGGTGCTGCAGTTTGAATATGAAATGTCTCCATCAGCAGGCTCATGTACTGGGGGTTTGACTGCTGCAGGACAGACTTGGGGGAACCGATTAGATCTTGACTTCATCAGTGGATGGACCTTGTGATGGATTCACAATCTAATGGCATTCTCTGGTGCAGAGTAGAGTCATATAGAGGAAGGAGGAAGATGGTATGGAGTAGGGTCAGATGAAGGAAGGAGAGAGATGGTGTGATGTAGCATCAGTTGGAGGAAGGGGGGGGCGCTTGAGGCCTGCCCTGGAAGTGTGTCTGGTTCCCTTCCCCTTCCTCATCCCACTTCCTGTCCCCTGGGAGCTTGTCTCTGCTGTATGACAAGATCTTGCTACCAAGATGTTCTGCCTCATCACAGGTCCTCAGCAGTGCAGCCAGTGGACTGGAGACAGAAGCCTCTGCAGGCATTAGCTGGGACAAGCCCTTCTCCCCTTAAGATGTTTTTCTTAGGGATTATTCAGAGTGATGAGATCATACAGGTGGAGAAGGAAGTTGGGAATAGGAATAGAGCAGTGATCCCTGTATTATCGACCTTGATAGATGGGAAGTTTGAAAGGCAGTAAGGATGTTGTAGAAGTTGAGAGTGTAGAGAATGTGCTAGTGCTGGAGAAGCCCGAGGAAAAGTTGGGAAATAGGGGCAACCCCCTAACAAGGCAAGAGGGAGAGAGAGAGGGGAAAAACAGGAAGGAAAAAATCCCTCAGATTTCCATCTCATTTGCTAAACACAGGCATATTCTCACCATCACATTTGTCACAAGTTGGGTGGCACCTCTCACAGGTCTGGGCATGTTGGTCTGCATAGTAGTGTTCTGGACAGGTGCGGTGACACTGTCCCTTGGAGCGCAGGAGAAAGAAAAATTTATCGCAGGATTGGCAGTCTGTGGGCAGCGGCCCCCGGCATGCCTGGCAGCTCTTGTCACACTTCTTACACCGACCACTGGCGCTTTCTCCATAATATCTGAAATGAAGAGGGAACACATATACATACATTTGTTCTCAGTATCTGAGAGGATTGGCATGTGTTACAAAACAGCAAGAGAGCCCACAGCTAGTGAGGGACAAACACAGCATGCAGACTGAGCTTGTGTCAAGTTTTATTGAGGGAAGGGGGTGGGGAAAGGGAGGGAAGGGAGGAGAGGAAAAGGGAGAGAGGGGGAGGGCTAACCCCTCCCTGCCTCTTCGGAGAATCAGGGTTAAGGAGAGCTGGAGTGGGCAGAGCTTGTCTCTTAAAGGGGCCTTTTGCACCCATGTACAGAGCCAGGGTACTGCCTACCATGTATGCTGGGGTGATGCACTCTGCCAGGTCCTCAAGGGGCGCGGCCAAGGTGTGCCTGGATGCTAACACCATGTGTGTACAAGTCCGTGTATAAAATGGCACAGTGTCTGTACATTAACTCTACCTCCTTCTTTATGCTTTCAATTATCTCTAAATGGTTCTCAGTGAAGTGTAAATGCCACGGGAATGGTTGTTATGCTACACTGGCTCAGAAATAAGGACAAGAAAAAAGGCCATGTGTTCAGCAACAGATGCATTGTTTTTTTAAAATATTTCCAGTCCCTGATCAAGTATGGAAGCTGAGGATGTGGAGAGCTGAATGGGCTCTGCTTGAGCCAAGGGCTGTGACAGACAGGGTTTATTCACAGGCCTGGCCTCTTCTGTTCTCTTCACTCAACCTTCCTCATGGAATCACTGCCAAAACGCTAACGAATCTAGTGAGTGTGGCTCCTATTCCCCGTACACTGAGTGTTACAGCACTCCCCAGCCCCTCGCTGTGTGTGAGCTGGAAGCACCTATGATAAGGTCAAGGTCACACACGGTGGTGGCTCAACAGTTCTCTGCCACCACTGCCACTGCCTGTTCTTCCTTTAACTTTAACCTTTGCTGAGCCACACCCTGGATACAAGAGCATTTCCTTTCACCATCATCACCATCACCATCATCCTCATCCTCGTCCTCCTCCATCATCATTTTGAATATACTGAATCTCCCATGTATAGTCAGACTGGACTTGAACTCTTGTAGTCCAGGCTGGCCTCAAATTTGTAGCAAATATCTTGCCTCAAACTTTCAAACACTATGACTTGTTGGGAACTGTGTGGCCTAGTTTCAGACCAGTATGTGAGTTCTTGTCCAATGGGTCTCCAGGTGAGGCGAAAGCCCATGGAGACAATCTCACTTGGCAAGGACCAGAGGACTTTGGGACAGTGCAGAGTACTGCTGGGACCTCGACACCTGCATGCTCTCTTCTCTCTCTTAGTATTGATGATTCTCTTGGTTGTTTTAGTGTCATTTTCTTCGTAATACATGGGGCAGATGTGATCATTCCTGGAAATCCCTTTTTCTTTTTCTTCAAATATTTCCTCCTAAAATTCTTTGGTCTCTGATGCTTCTCAAGTTTCTTGTCTAGGGATGCCAGCTGTCATTACAGACCCCGGGAACTGTTGTGATTCAGTATTGACAGGATGGGAGGCAGAGCATACTTATCTCTGTAGAAATGTTTTGAATGAGATTGTTAGTCTTGAAAATGCATGCCTATGTCAATCATCTTTTAGTTTTGTAAAGACAGGATGCACCTGGCTTGATATTACGCCAAGCTAGCTAGCAAAATGGGAAGTGTTGTTTTTGTTTTAAAGACGTTTTGATGTAAAAGTTGGGAAAAACCATATTTGACATATTGTTTTTGCTGAAGGTTAACATTGGAGAATGGGAAAAACTTGTTTGTTTGGAAAAACAATCTTGCTTTTCTTATATAAATAAAGACAGCTAGAGCTATTCGGGGCTGGCCACTGTGTGAAACTCTTCTGGTGGTTGGGCAATTCATTTCTCTGAACCAATGCCCCTTCCCCACCTCGGGACATGAGCCCCAGTTGCAGCAGGACCTGGCAATGACTACAAGCATGTGCCACTACACCCAGCTCGAAAGGCAATTTAAAGTGTACCTCTGTATGGATATTCTAATTTCTCAATTTAAAAACATTTTTAAATATGAGGTCACATGATTGGTGCTGGTCTTTATAAAACAGATGTAAATCCCTTTGAGACGATTTTTGGAGAGTCAACATTTTAACAGTAACAACCACTTATTAAGCTCTGTTGTATGCTTGATGATGCCCTAGAAACTTGAGAAACATTTCATCCCATTGAACATGAAAATGAGAGACCGGAATGTGATGGTTAGGAACTTAGGCTCTAGAACAAGTGTGCTTTCAAATCTAAGCAGTACCACCTAATGAACTGTGTGCCCTTGGGTGGGTCACTCAATATCTCTGTGTTTCATATTCCTTAATTTGTAACATGGAACTATTACTAGCATTACAATTAAACACCATAAGGTTGTTATACTGGTGACTAGAACTCTATAGTGTATATTTGGGTTAGTTGTGGATTTTTAAATTAATTCTCACAGCATACCTTCTGAGTTTATATTGCCACCCCAAAGTGTGACAATATAAACTCACCCCAAAGATTGTAGATCCAAAGCATATGGCTTAGAACATTCAGAGAACTTGTTTAAGGTTAAATGGGAGATGGTATGAAAAGCCTCATCTGCCAATCCCAATATAACACAACAATGCATTTGCTGAAGGTGAACAGATGCCTTCCAGACCAAATCAAGCTCTTAAGGACTCCAGAGGTTGTGTGGCTCATGTCTGCATCTCCATGATCCTTGCCTGGCAGTGACATGTCATCATTATGTATATGGCTAGTACTTGCCCCAAATCACCAAAGAGTTGACTCTGTGCTGCATGTGTGGTGGCACACATGAAAAACAAGAGAAGTTTTTCTTCCAGGAACTTAATTTCTTTTTCATGAGAAGATACCAGGACAAGGATAAGCCTTTGAAGTATAAAGTATGGACTTTAACTTAGCTTATCCAGACATACCAGGTGCTCTTACACTGACCTGTGTGGACCACACGAGTGGATGAATGAATGAGATATACAGAAACATGAGCCAATATACAACACTGAAATAAACGAAACATGCAGACATCATTTAGAGCTGAAGAAAGGTACCAATTGGGGTGAAAGCAGCCAGGGACGGTCCTTCAATTTGGGTCTGGAACCTCTCAGGGCTCCGGGTTAGTAATTGGGAAAGAGTGGGAGGGGGTGTGGGATGCTGGAGAAGGCATGGCCCAATCAAGCCTTCTTCCCAGAGTGTTTGTAACCAAATCTGATATACACACTGGCAATTGTTCTCAGCAGAAAAATAATCAAATTCCTATCCACAAACTGCTTTATATTAGCATTTCATATCAGTGTCAAAGTTGCATTTAGAACTGTGGAGGTTGGATATTTGTGGAAGGCTGGCAGGTTGCAGAGACCATGGGGTATAAATGGAGACAGTAACTGAAATTGGTCCCTTTGTGTGATCACTGTCCCACCTGTACTGCTTAGGTTTTGTGTATTAATGCTGAACCATACTATATCCTAAAACTGAAGGAAAAGAACCTCTATTAATGCATATGGGCCATTCTGAGGGAAGGAGGAATCACTCTGCATTGGACTGCAAGTATCTGTGGATTGTCAGTGAGGCCAGGCCCTGAGGATGGTTAGTCACTTGGTCTGATGGGGCCATCTGACTTGGTGTGTTTTCTCTCATGGAGACACACTATTTCTCCCCTTTCTTGCCGTGTGCTGTGGCCTGACTCATATTTGCTCCCTGATCACAGGGAGGCTTTACTGTGGCCTCCTTTCCTCATTGCCGTCTGGAGTGGCTGCAGAGTGAGAAGGTGCTTACCCGTTCCTGCATTGCAGCAAGCACTCCTTGCCCAGCTGGAACCAGCCAGGTCGGCAGGAGTGACACTGCATGCTGTGAGGTCCTTCACAGGTCCTGCAAGAGTTGTGGCAGGGCACACACTGGTGGCTGTCCTTGTCAGTGTGGTAGCCTTCTGGGCAGCTTTTCACACAGGTCATGTCTGTTGAAGAAGGAAAAGAGTCTGTCTTGACAGAGAGCATGACGTGTGGCTCCCCACACATCCTGCCTTTGGGCAAGGAGGCATTGCATGAAGAGAGATGAGATCCCACAGGCCGATTGATAGCAGTGACGGTAGAGTCAGCATGGACAGGCTACCGTAGGCAGAATGGAAAGAGCAGGCTGGGGGCTGTCAGCCGAGGTTGTTGGGTACCTGTGCTCTAGTTTTCTATCATTGCTTTGACCACTGACTTTGTGGCTTTAAAACAGGAACGAATCATCTCACTACTCTAGAGGCCAGAAATCTAAAATGTGTGTCCAGAGCTGCATTCCTTTTGGAGGTGTGGGGATCTGTTCTTCCCCCGTCCACTTTTAGAGGGTATGTGTGTTTATGAGCTCAGGGGCCCCTTCTCGTTCAAGAGTGGTGTCTTCTCTGTCCCTCTGATTCCGTCAATACACACCTACTACTAACCCTGCTCTTATCAGACCTTTGTGATCATATTGGTCTCATAATTTAAGTCAGCATAATGTCCCCATGGCAAGATCTTTCATTAGACACAGCTATAAAGTCCCCTTTACGGTATAAAACATACACTTGCAGGATGGAGAGATGAAGGTGTGACATCTTCAGGGAGAGCATAATTTGTCTATCACAGTCTTCCCCAAACTACCTTGTTTATAAATAGCCTATTTCTGGTGGTGTGGGGCAGAAAGGAGTGAGTGTGAGCGATCAGGCTAGGGCCAAGCCCGTGCAGCCTTTAGGGGCAGCCTCTATATCAAGGTTTAACTCTAAATTCATTTACATTCCCAGGTTAAGGGAAGACCTTCACTAATGAGATGTCTTCCTCTCTGTAAGAAGGTATCTGAGGTGGCCCTAGATTGGTCATTACTAGTAGGGAATGTCCTAATGTGTGAGAGGTCCAGTTGGAAGGGCTATTTTTATGAGGAATAACTTTGAGAAAGGAAGTTCACCAACCTAAGATGGGCAAAGAAGACTGGTGTTTCCAAGTGTCGCCAATTGTGAGAGGCCAGCATAGTATTGAGGGTGCGCGACCCTATATGTAGCAGGGTTCCAATGCCCTTGCTGATGATATCTCACCAATAGGGAGAAACTGGCCACTTATTCTCACTGTGATTGTCTCCCTCTGAGCTCTATTCTGCTGACTTGGAAAACAATGCCAATCCTTTCTGGGCTTCCATGTATTCATCTCTTTTTAAATGATTGATTGATTGATTGATTATTTTTGAGACAGAGTCTCATATAGCCTGACCTCAAACTTCCTATAAAGCTAAGGCTAGTCTTAAACTCCTGTGTCCCATCTTCACCTCCCAAGTTCTGGGATTACAGGTATAGGCCACTTTGTACAGCTTCTTCACTTTTTGGAAACAGGGTCTTGCTATGATAAGTAGCCCACACTGACTTTGAACTTGAGATCCTCCTGTCTCAGCCTCTCCAGTACTAGGATTATAGGCACACACCATTACACCTAGTCAAAATGATTAGTTAATTTAAAAAAACACCAAATCAAGAGGCAGCTGTGATAAAGAGTGGACTAGCTATATGTTGGCAGGGTCTGTGCACAGACTATGCATTACTAGGGAGTCAGTGGAGAGAATGAGTTATCTTGAGGAGAGGATCTACATGAATACTACTGATGAAGGGGAGGGGGATATCACACCACAACAGACATGGCTCTCAGAACATACAAGCTACTTCTTCTGGCTGAGAAAGCAACCCACCATGAGGGAGCCACTTGCCAACTCAAAAGGAAGGACAGGGACTGAATTCTCCTGAAGTGTCCACAGCATAAAACACAGAAACAAGCTGTGTTCCAGACTAAAGGAGGCTCTAAGATAAAAAGGTAAATGCATGTAGACCTTGTCCTGAGCCATGTCCTAAAGGGCAGCTGGGACAATTTAATATTAACAGTACATTTTAAAAAGTTAGACTTATTTATTTTATTTAATGTGCATTCATGTTTTGTCTGCCTATTTGTGTGTGTGTGTACCACATGTGTGCCTGGGAATCCACAGATGTCAGAGAGGGCATTGGATCCCCTAGCAGTGGAGTTTCAATGATTGTGAGCCATGGTAGGTACTAGGATTGAACCTGAGTCTTCTGCAAGAGCAACAAGTGTTCTAAACCCCTAAGCCATCACTCATTGTGTCAATGCAAATTTATTAGCGCTGACAATGTCCTGTCTTGTGTAAGAAATTGTCCCTGTGCTAGGAAACACAGAGAAAAATGTTCACAGGAAAGAGACTGAAACGTGTCTAGTTCACCCTTCAATGTTTCAGGAAAAAAATGTAGATTGTGGATTAGCAAATGCGTGCACACAGACAGGGTGGAAGATTAAAGTTAGTAGTGTGTGAAGTAGACAAAGGACAGTGTGTTCCTTTGACCATCCCATCCTATCTGTTTTCTGTAGGGTTGAAAATGTTAAATAAATGTAAAGAAAAATTTTAAAAGGGCAGACAGAAGTTAACACTGGGCATCATGACCTGCAGGTTCACATGGAGAGGGACAGCACAGCTGGCCTTGGACATGTGTTACAACTCACCGAGAAGAAGTGTTTCTCTGGGGCAGGTATAGCACTGGTTCTGGGCAGGCCCTGAGCAGCGGGAACACTTCCTGTGGCATGGCTGGCACCTATGAATGCCCTCATCCCAGTACTCGACAGCCGCACACTCCATGGGTGCTTTGCAGACCTCATGCACTAGTGTCAGGCCTTCCTGACAGGCCAGGCAGGTCTCATCTGACAAGCAGCTCCGGCAGAACTCGGGGCAATCTGGAGGGATGGAAGCCAAGCAGAGGATGGTGAGAGGTGGTTAAGGCAGGGGCAGCCTTTTAGGAAATGAATTCCTTTCTCCTGGAGACTTCTAGGGCTTTGTGACAAGGGCACGAGAGCATGGTCACCCAACACTATGACCAAGGTCACACACCAGCATGTGGCCTTTTCACTATCAAAGTCCCCATTGCCATGGTCTTTCTCTCATCTCCTAGAACACCTCTAGCTAATCATTAGTAAAGCAATGGTTGGAATGTGTTATAGTTTCCCAGTCTTTGAAGTGTATGAACTCATTGGTGGATTGAACCCTCAAGGAGACTCAACTTAGAGCACCCTTTAAAAGCTCACCGGCTCTTGGAAACTTTTACATGGGGAACCCTTTGTGATGGGCATGTGCCATTAGAAGGGCCGTGTGATGTGTAACTAGCTGGATCCACATGCACAAAGCTTATGAATGATGCATTTTAAAAATGAACTCTTGCCAGGGCTGTGGTGTCACACATCTTTAATCCCAGCATTCGGGAGGCAGAGGCTGGTAGATTTCTGTGAGTTTGAAGCTAGCCTGGTCTACAGAGCAAGCTCCAGGACATCTAGGACACAGAGAAACCCTGTCTCAACCCTCCCTGCACAAAAGAAAGCAGCAACAACAACAACAAAAAAACTCTTTTTCAAAATTGGCTTCCTTGTGCAGGAAGGGTGGGGGTGTCCTGAGAGCTGTGACTGGGTACTATGGTGGCCCTCCCTAGAGCATGCTTTGTGTGGACAGGCTTCCCAGCCACCTTTGCTCAGTTATGCAGCCCCAAAATCCGTACCTTTACATTCATCAGTCACCTCGTCTTTGTATGTTCCCTCCGGGCACACATCCAAACACAGCCCTTTATAGAGAGCCTTGGAAGTATCAGCGCAGACCTCACAGTCATCCTCCTTGGGGCCATTGCATTCCAAACAGTTTTCATGGCAGGGGACACACTGGCGCAAGTCAGGGTAGAAGTGCTTGGGACAGGACTCATAGCATGTGTCATCGTACAGGAAGAAATTAGGCATACACTCTGAGGAAAGGAGGAGACAGCAGGTTATCCCCAGGGATTGCTGAGAAGGATTCATTGCTCCTGTAGTGGGCTAGCCCATTTCTCAGCTCTCTGAGCCTCTTGGCCTAGAATGACATTTGCCTCTCTCCATCCAGCCAGGGTGCATCCCCAGTTATCTAACAATATAAGCCTTGGCACAAAAGGTAGTTTGAATATATTTGGCTCCCATAAACTCACAGGGAGTGGCACTATTATGAGACCTGGCCGTGTTGGAGAAAGTGTGGTCTTGTTGGAGGAGGCTGGATGACACAAGCCTTTAACCCAGACCTTGAGGCTGGAGGGCACACCTTTAATCTGGGCCACACCTTCTATTGCAATCGAATCCCTGTGGGTGTGGGCTTTGAGGCCTTTTTCTCAAGCTTCACTCAGTGTGGCAGTCAGTGGACTTCCTGCTGCCTCTGAGTCAAGATATAGAACTCTTAGCTCCTGCATTACTCCTGCCTCATGCCACCCCTCCATGCTCCCTGCCATGACAGTATTTGACTGAACCTCTGAAACTGTAAAGTGAGCCCCTCAACTAAATGTTTTCCTTGTAAGAGCTGCTGTGGTCACGATGTCTCTTCACAGCAATAGAAACCTAACGAAGACCACACAGTGACCTTTTTATATGATCTTGGACTTGCTGAAGATGTGGCCTGCACCTTTCAGGTATAAAAGTTCCAGTGCTGTGGGAAACAGTGCTGGGGGGGATGCTGGAGGCATTGCTCAAAGATCTGGGGGAAATGAATGTCCACATGTAGAAGAATGAATCTAGATCCATACCTATCACCCTGCACACAAATCAACTCCATGTGGACCCAAGAACTCAGTGTGAAGCCAGAAACACTGGAACTGCTAGAAGAAAACTGCCAGTTCTGTACAATATATAGGTTCAGGAAGGGACTTCCTGAAGAGGACTTCATTTGTCTAGGAATTAAGTGGGACCTCATAAAACTAAAATGCTTCTGTACACCAGAGGAAGCAATCACTCGCACGAGAAGGAAGCCTACACAGTAGGAGAGAACCTTTGAAAGTTGTTCATTTGACACAGGATTAATATCCAGAATATACTAAGAGCTCAAAAGATTAAAAAAATCAAGAAAAATTGCCCAATTAAGAAAATGGGCTATAGATCCAAGCAGAGAATTCTCAAAAGAAGAACTAAAAATGGCTAAGAAATACCTTTAAAATCTTCAACATCCTTAGCCATTAGGGAGATGCAAATTAAGATTACTGTGAGATATCATCTAAAATCAAGAAAACAACTGACAACAAATGCTGGTGAAGACATGGGGAAAGGAGAAACCTCACTGCTGTTTGTGAATCGGAAGCTGGTCCAGCCTCCATGGGAACCAAGATGGAGAATTCTCAAAAAGCTAAAAACAGATCTCCTATATGAGCCAGCTATGCCACTCCTTGACATACGGTCAAAGGACTCATCCTTCTCTATAGGCTCTTGCTCAGCCAAGTTCCCTGCTGCTCTATTCACAATAGTTAGGGCATGGAAAGAGCCTAGATGTCTAGATGAATAGATAAAGAAAATGTGATGCATAGACACACTGGAATACTATTGAGATGCAATTAAATCATGAAATTTGTAGGTAAATGCATATGAACTTCTGATACTATAAGAAATAGTCCTCAAGGAAGAGGTTTCTAGCTCAGTTCCAGATCATATCCTCCAGGTCATGTTTCTAAAATGTATGGTGTCTTTAGCAATAGAGTCTAACGTTCAAGTTCTGAGAGGCAACAATAGCCTATATGGTACTGGGAAGTCTCTTAGACAAGCCTGACCAACAACTTGAAAAGGGAGTTCCCTTGCCTGGAATTTTTGTTACTCTATGGCTCTTGAGAGGAGCATTATCTTTCAGTGTTTTAATTCCATTTAAGCTATACACACCTGCTCTCATGAATGTTCGAGCACAAACACACACACACAAACACACATACCAATAGACAGTAATAAGCTCTCCTAATACTGTGTGTGTAATGCTTATGTAAAGTTTATAAAATAATGTCTCCCTATGACAGTCTCTCTCTCTCTCTCTGAATTACCTTCTCTCCCTCCACCCACAAGTTCAGTCTCCACCCTCACTTTCCCCTTCATAGCACCTGTGTCCTTCTAGTCCCTTCTCTAGAGCTCCTTCTCCACTATACCACCATGGGTCTAACTCTCCTGGTTTCCACAGCTCCTTTGGGTACCATACTTAAGTTTAAAGATTCAGAAAAAAAGGGACCCACAAATTCAAAAAAACATGTAGCATTTGTCTTTCTGGATCCGATTTATCTTGCTCAGTATAATAGTAACCTGAATTTGTGTTCCTAAGCCATGGTCATGCATATTTGTCCCCAGAATAAGTGTCTCTTATTCCCTTTGAGGTGAGAGTTGAGCACATCTGGAAGAACACTTGCTTCTTTTAGCTCACAGAGTTCACAAGGGAAGGAGTCTATCTAACTCTTCCTCAACAACAGGCTGAAAGATGGTGAATTTCACTGAAGGTGAAGCTTGATTCTTTTGGTTCTCAGATAGTGGCCCCAGCCAGTGGCGCCTCAGGACCAGGATCCCTTGGGATTGTGAGAATGCTTTTTGTTTGTTTTCCATCAAAGATACTAGTCTACCAAGGGCTGATATTCCATAAATCCCCCTCACCATGTAAAGCTTTTATGCAAAGAAATTCAAATCTTTTTATCCTCTCCACCTTTGGTTCATGAATAGCGGCCCCATGCCTGTTTTACACTCTACACACTTGATGGTCCAGAGAGGCCAACCACTTGTCCAACTTGGGTGGGACCCCAGCCAATGGGGAAAAGACATAGTTCTCCTACATTAGGATAAAAACCTTTCAGATTTCCTACTTGGTGTGCTTGCTAGACCAGTTTGAGTCATAGCACAACGTTTTTTATGAAAAGAAATTGCCTGGGCAGATTCCTCTCATTTTGTTCATGTGTTTCTTTGTGCAACAGAAAGAATATTCTTTTCCGTCACCAAGCTTCCATGTACCTTTGCAAGTCTTCTCATGGATGCAGTCCTGGCACTTTTCTGGGCAGTGCTTGCAGATTCCTTCCACAGCCACATGCTTTTCAGGGCAAGTTTCCCAGCACACCCCATGGTCTAGCACGAAGTCTCCTTCACAAGAGTGACAGTGGGTAGCATTTCCTTCACATGTTCTGCAAGGGGGACTACAGTGCTCACAAACACCATCTTTTGCATAGAAGCCCCTATGGAAAGAAGGGAGATTGCAATTAGACCAATTGTAGATGGATCTCTGCTGCTGACAAAGGGATTCAGATTAAAAGGAAAGGATGATGTTTTTGTCAATCAAAATGAACCCACAAGACTTACTGAGGGAAGGTTGTGAAAAGAATGTCCAGAAAAATAAAATGAAAGGGCGGACATTTCCCTTGGGGATTTGGTTTGTTTAAAGCTATTGAATTTGTCTAAAATGTAGTCACTTGTCTGATTTCCTACTTATCCTCAAATTGTCATTGTCTTTTCTCTCTGTCAGAGATTTACAATAGAAAATATTTTAGTATGCACGAGCGTGCACGTGCATGTGTGTACACACACACACACACACACACACATCTATTAATAGAGAATTCAAACCAGGTCTGACTCTGAAAACAACTTTTGGTGTCTACCATTTAAGGGATCTAGGATTATGTTTCATTGTTACATTGTATTTTATTTGTGTGGGATATAGTATATGTGTATGTGCTCCTGGGCACACACCTGTGCATGTATGTTTAGAAGCCAATGATTGACATTGGGAGCCTTCCTCTATCATTCCTCACCTTATTTCTTAATCTGGGGTTCATCACTTTTGCTAGACCGGCTGTCTGGAGGGCTCTGAGGATTCTCCTGTTTCTGCTCCTTCAGTACCAAGATTATAGGTATGTGTCACAGTGCATGGTATTTATGTGGGTGCTGGGATCAAACTCAGGCTTGTTGTTTGTACAGAAAGTACTTTACCTACTAGTATTTATTACTATTATTATTATTACTATTGTTATTATTGGCAGGGTCCATCAATATATAGCCCTGACTGTGCTGGAATTCACTATGTAGACAAGGCTGACCTCAGACTCACAGAGATTCACCAAGAGTTGGGAACAGGCAATAATAACTTCATGAAGAACAGTCATGACAACTTTTTCAATTCCAGGGTGGCAGAGGCTAGTAGGGAGCAATGACTGTGGAAGTTCATCTCTAATCCTAATTTTTGTTTATGATGTGAACACTGCTGGTCTTGGTGACTCTGTGTCATTTTGATCCAGATTTTGTTATGTCTTGCTAAGTTTGTTACCGCTGGTCTGCTGTTCTCCTCCCTCACAGGCGAGTTCTATTGGTAGGGACTAAATGGATTTTAAGTTAGAGGGCTGAGAAAATCATAGCAATGAATAGTAAGTAGCTACTGTTACTACTTATAATTCAGAACTCATCTGCTTGAAAGTTTATAAGAGGCTCATATCACAACTGCATTCACAATGCAGAAGAGAACTGAGAAAATTCTGTTATTGATACAAGGTGGGAAAAGAATAGCCAGACACCACACAAACATGTTTTGGTCAATGCGGAGCCTCGGGTGTGATAGTCCATACCACATAGACTCTGTGTGTAGGAGGCTACATTATCCAGGTTTGTGTAAGAACAGTGTGCCGCTCACCCAGTGATGAGATTGCCCAATGATAAGCTCCTAAGAACACATCCCCCATGACTGTGCAATGCCCGTCACAGTGAAGTGAGCATCTGGCCACATGTAAATTTTGGCTGCTGTGGGCCCACAATGATGTCACAGTCAACAAATGTCACTAATGTGGGTGCTCCGACTGTGTAGAGCGTTCTCTGAAGGGGAAGGAGCTGCTCTGAGGTACTGTGGAGAATGAGTAGGAGCAGGGTGTCAAAGGGAGAAGGACACTTACTCTGGGCATCGATGGTAGCACCTGCCCTCGTGGAGGAGCAGAAGGCTGTCCGGCTGACTCAGGCACTTTTGGCAAAGGTCGGCTCCAGAGCAAGAGGCACAGTCCTCAGCACAGTTCTCACAGCTGCCACTCTTGACTGAGGGCCAAGTGCCTTGGGGACAGGAAGGAACACAGGTGTGCAGCCACAGGTATGTACCTAAATTCAGGGCATGAGGACAGAGAACAAATGTCATGGTGAGTCCTGACATCACACACGTTATCCACAGGATTGACATATTTTATGAGTCCATTAGATTAGTTAGATCTTTGGGAAGGGAAGGGGCCACAGGGGCCTTTGCTCTGCTTCTTTTATACAATCTGATATTAGATACTGGTGACCATAGGGCTTCCCTTTGTCCTGTCATCTAGTCAGGCACATGGGAGCTTCTCCATGCAGTCCCCTTTCCTGCCTCCCCCCATCTGTGACGGACGAGACTGACATGGCAGTAAAATTTCCAGACATCATCTACTTCAACTCACGTTCCATCCGTACTGGTGTATACCACACACACACACACACACACACACACACACACACACACACACACACACACACACACACCCTACAAAAATAAATAAATGATATAAGGATCAAAAAATAGGGCCAGATGTATGGTGGTGCATGACTTTAATCCCAGCACTCGGGAGGCAGAGATGTGCAGATCTCTGTGAGTTTGACGCCAGCCTTCGCTACATGGTGAGCTCTAAGCCTACCAGAGCCACATAGTAAGGTGGTGTTAATAAATAAATACAGGAAGAATGTGAAAATAATAATAAAAAATTAAAACCATTTCAACTAAAATTCTGAAGCATTTTGTTTCTGTTTCTGGGTGTAGCCACTTATACACTTCCAGTCTTGATGCATTGGCCATTTTAAATGTTGCTACACGTGTGATATCTCACTACAACAGTCCCTGACTCAGGGCTTCACCCAAAGTCTCAGTTGGTTGAGGTCAGCCCAGGTCTGGAATCCTAAGTCAAAGTTGTAGAAGCAAAGGTCTCGAAGTCATAAAAACCTTTGTTACGGTGTATTGTTATGGTTCTCCATTTTATTATTGGCTGTTGATATTCTCTTCTTGTGTCTGATTTGTAAGTTCAAGTTTATCATAGGAAATATGTATAGGAAAAATGGTCCACAGAAGACTTGGTTCTATTGTGGTTTCAGATTGTTACAGACATTACTGGAACACATTGCCAGAGGATAAAGGCTTGATGGTGTTAATAACATTGCACACTCATACACAGCTCTTCTAATGATAATTTTTTGGTTTTTCGAGACAGAGTTTCTCTGTATTGTTTTGGAGGCTATCCTGGAACTAGCTCTGTAGACCAGGCTGGTCTCAAACTCACCAGGCCTGCCTCTGCCTCCCTAGTGCTGGGATTAAAGGCGTGCGCCACCAACGCCTGGCTCCTAATGATAATTTTTAAAGAAGTGCTTTTAATTTTATTTTTAATTATGTTTACCGGTGTATCTGAGTGTATATGTGTGGTAGAATATTATTTTAAGGTGTGTGACTTTTGTTTAACTCTGTGAAGCTGTGTTACTGTGCCTGTCTAAAGCACCTGGTGATCCTGCTGAACGGCCAATAGTGAGGCGGGAGAAAGGACAGGTGGGGCTGGCAGGCAGCGAGAATAAATAGAAGGAGAAACAAAGAAGAGCAAGAGAACAAGGGGAGGAGGAAGTCAGGGGCCAGCCATGCAGCCACCCAGACAGCATAACTTCCTCGGGATAGGTTGTCTGCGTAGTGTTATGCTGGAGAGATGGCCCAATGCAGTGGATAAGAACAGTGCAGAGACCCTGAGCTCAGTCCCCAGCGTCCACACTGGGTACAATTTAGAAACCTATTCTGTTGCTACCCTTCCCTTACCCTCCCCTCCTAGCACTAAATGTAGAGTCAATGATGAAGGAGACCACAGTGTATTCAACCTCATGCTTATCCTCAACCTTAACTTTATTGTCTGGGATAAAAGAACAAGGGACTCTAAAACTGAAGTACCCACAGATTCCAGAAAATTCTGTGGCTAAGTCAACCCAAGACTTCACCATGCTTTTGGAGCAAGAAGCATTTCTATGTCCCAGGAGGCCCATTTTTATTATGGGTCGCTGGTTTGCTGTGTGTGTCCCCAGAAGCCCCTGTGATGGGAGGGTGTGGTGGGACCAGATCAATAATACCGTGCATTTGCACACAAAGCTTCACCAATGTGCAGGCATGATGATGGTGCGTAGGTTCAGATTCCACCGCCCCCCCCCTTCCACACTGACCTTTTGGACACGAAGTGCAGAGAGTTTCAGATCCATTGCAGCTCTTACAAGAAGAATGGCAAGGTTGATCTTGCTTTGTTGCATCTGTGTGGGTAAGAAACAAGTCAGACCTGGCCTGTCGCATAGTGTGTCTCAGTGTTGGAGGAGGCCTAACTGCAACTCGGCTCCTCTTTTCAATTTTACACTAGCCAACCACTGTCTGCTACCCACTGCTAAGGTGTAGAATTCATTCATTCTTTTTAAAACTCTTTTTTGGACGCTGATTTTCAAGATTTCTCTTGCAGTGACAGAAAATGTGTGTCTTACAGGAACGTCATAATACTATGATTTAACAAATCATGCTGTTTTCATATGTGTAGGTGAATGTCTGTGTGTCCATATGTTCCTGTGTTTTCGCTGCCTCTCTGAGGGCATCTGGAGGTAACTATTTCCAGGACGCCACCTCAGAAAGCTCCTGGGGCAGTTTCCCATTCACACTGGCAGCCCCATCCACCCTGCTCAGTACACACGGAGATCTTCCCAGAGTGCCGCCCACAGGAGATTCTAACTCCTGTGGTCCTGATGGCCGTGGCTCTCCCTCTCTGCCTTCTTCCTCTTTCTTGACCTTCTCCTTCTCCTAGGAGTCTGCAAAATGTCTCTCTACTCACACCTGCCATCGGATCCCAGCTGTGCAGCTTACCAGTAGGGTAACCATGGATACAGTAATTAAAGTCTCAGAGTCCTACTTTCCATGTCTCTAAAATGAGAGAAAATGGTTCCTCCCTTGAACTGTGCAGCTCAGTGAGACGATGTGTGTCCTGCTCAAGGCTGGCGGTGTGTGAAGTAGTTACTTAACTCAGTGGCCCAGTGAGACAGTGCACAAAGTGTTTAACACAGTGGTTCAGTTAAGACAGTGTATGTGAAGTGCTTAGCACGGTGACTCAGTAACAGACCTCCATTGTCTGCCTTCTCCCTTCCCTTTCCTTCAATTGTCCTTCTACCCCATGTCTGAGGCTGCTTTAGTTTCTTCTTCCTTCCTTCCTTCCTTCCTTCCTTCCTTCCTTCCTTCCTTCCTTCCTTCCTCCCTCCTTCCCTCCCTCCCTCCCTTCCTCCCTTCCTTCCTTCCTTCCTTCCTTCCTTCCTTCCTTCCTTCCTTCCTTCCTTCCTTCCTTCCTTCCGTCCTTTCTTTCCTCCTTCCTTCCCTTCCTTCCTTCCGTCCTTTCTTTCCTCCTTCCTTCCCTTCCTTCCTTCTCTCTCTCTCTCTCTCTCTCTCTCTCTCTCTCTCTCTCTCTCTCTCTCTCTCTCTCTCTCTTTCTTTCTTTCTTTTTGTTTTTGGCTTTTTGAGACAGTTTCTCTGTAGCTTTGGAGTCTGTCTTGAAACTCACTCTGTAGACCAGGCTGGCCTCGAACTTACAGAGATCCGCCTGTCTGTGCCTCCTGATTGCTGGGATTAGATTAAAGGTGTGTGCTACCACCACCTGGCTCTCTTATTTTCTTAATCCACACTGGGACAGGTGGGGGTGACAACGACATGGGCCTGGTTTCTATGGTGTCACTTATGGCTGATTATAGAGCTGCTGAGCCTTGCTGGGGACAAGACTAGGGTGGAGTACAGATATGTAGAGAGCTATGATTGATGTGAATACACACGTGCAGTATGCACATGTAAGGCACACAGCAGCATGCATATACATACACAATGCATATGTATCTAAATGACTGCCCAAGCTGCCACACCGACTGGCAACAGCAGTTGTCACAAAAGTCCACAGGCTTCTTCTGCTGCTGACGCCTTTTCACCTGACCATAAGAAGAGGCAGAAGGAAGGCAGCAGCATGCTGGGATGTTCAGGGTGACATCCATCCCCGAGACCTGCAAAACTATGCTGTTTCTGGCCACGGGCTGATTTTCTGTGGACTTTTTCATTTTATATGAAAGTGCCTTATTCACAAAGATATGAGTTTTCTTTTTATATGTATTTGTGAAATCAACGGATATCCACACATATATATTGTAATTATATGTATTTAACATTCTGGCAATTTTCCTGTTTCACTGAATAAACTTGGTACAGAATGCGGCAATGTCCCCTTATGTCCAGCAGAGGGAGCCCTGAACAAGCAGTTCATAGTAATTGGACAACAGCAGTATCCAGTAGATTTGCTACAGTTGCAGCGAATAAATCAGGACCTCCTACATGGTTCCCATTTTTGCCCCACTCCAGGAATTCTAACCTTGCTAGCACGGATGAAAAAGAGAAAAGATGAAAGTGAAATAAATCTCTTCAACTAAGAAAGTGGTACCCATTAGTCACAGGCAACTGAAGAAAACCAGGGTCCTTCTTATTCTCATATTAAATAGTTAATAGTCACATGGTTCTATATACACATTCACACTGCTTATCACTTTGTATTGTGGAGTTTGCTCTTATGGCTTAAAAAAAAAGAGTCCTTCTATGTAGCCCAGACTAGCCCTGAACTTGTATGTCTACCACCCCAGCCTCCTCAGTACCTGGGTTACAGACATAAATCCACAATGCTTGGCTTGCCTTTCTCTTTTAAAACTCATCTTTTGGAGAGCAGGCTTTGCTGGTACGTTAGGAATCTCCTTGTTCCTTTTGAAGCTCTATGGTATTTTACTCTTCCGACGCATCACCCTCCATCTCTTTTGTCATAGGTTTTCAGGCTTTGCTATTTCAAAGGACACCACAGCAACCGGGAAGGCATAGGTTGCTTCTTTAGCTTATTAAAGATTTTCAGGGATGGAACCCGGCGCTGGAGCCCAGGGGCTCATGGTTGCTAGTCAGTGCCCTATTGCTGAGCTCCCTGTCGAGCCGTACGGCTCTTTTCCTTGTCTTTCCCAGGCAGAGTCCTCAGGGCATCGAGAATGGCCTTAGCTGTATCGGGAACCTCTGCTGTTGGATGCACAGATTCCCCCAAGTTTCCACTGATTTCTTATGACCCTCCTGTCTCCTCTGTCATGACATCTGAGTCCCCATTGTCCCGGCCTTCTGGCTGCTTTCTGTAGAGTGGAGATGGCTGTGGGGCAGTGGCCTTCTCCTCCCTATTTCCCTGTTACCTCTTTTGATTGGAATTTTCCACCTTCGTTGCTCCTGCAGCAGGTCCTTCACCAAGGATGGGTTTTCAGTGGGCACAGCTTCTTTTTATTGAAAAAAACAAAGTGTTTCAATGACGGAAGGACCAAAAGGAAGATACGCTTCACCTATGCCCCCTCCTCCCAGAAATAGCTGCTGTGTATTCTTTGGCACACAGACCCACCCAGAGATGTGGGAGGTGGAAGACTTGTGGAGTGGAATCGTTCACACCCTCTGCATATAGGACACCCAGCCTGCATGTGCCATTCAATACTGTAAGTATTATAGATGTTTCTTCTTGTCGTGGCCTTTGAAGGTATCTTTCGAAAATGTTCTGCATACGCGTTTGTATGAATCATCTTTCACTTTCTGGGTTACATTTGTAGATTGCTTGGCCGCACATATCTGTTGTGGTTCTTATTGTCATGAAGCTGCATACACATCTTTGAGGAAATGCACTTGTGGCCGGTCAAGACACTGTGCGAGGCATCCTGGCTTGTCTGGCCATGCCTGTTCTCTGGGACTGTGTTTTGCTAGACCAATACTATTCTCCAGTGCCTCCTCCTCCAGCCACCAATGGCTTTCTTTTGTGACCCTTGCTAATGTGAGGTGTATAAGTGTGGGCCAAAGGGTCAGAAACAGCATTCTCAATGCTCTGTGGGATGTAAATGGTTTCTCAGGTCCAAAATGACATGTTGTGTGGTTTCGTGCTCTCATTTTACAGATGAGGGGGAAGAATGAACTCAGGATTACCATGCAGTGAACATCTGGGCCATGATTTGAATGCAGCACTCTGTTTCTAGAGTTATTTTTCTTACTGCGGTCATTTTTACAGTTATCCATTTGCAGAGCTGGGATCCAACCCAGGACCTCTTCCACAGGAGGCAACTGTTCCACCATTACGTCACACTGGAAGTTTCCAGGTCTGCCTATCATGAAAGCCCATGTCCACTAGAGAGGTTCTTGAGCAATTAATTTCAATTTTAAAGTCATTTGAGAGAGATCAAAGTGGTGCTCTGCTGGTGAGACAATGCTGATGTATAGTGTTGCCAATTCCTGTGGTGTAAACATTTCTGCCATAGCTAATTTTAGGCTGTCAATGGCCTGGCCATGTACAATTCTTGCTTAACAGTCAGCATAAGCCTGTACAATGGTCCCTTTGTAGCACTGTGCCAAGGGTCTGATTATCCTACAGGGGCATTTGCTCTTCAGCTTTCGTATTGGTTAAGTAACTGAAAATGCTGCCATCCTTCCTATACGAGGGCAACAAATCCCTTCTAGAAATCTGTAGCATCTTCAAAGTCATCTTCAGTTACTATTATACAACATTTATCTCTCCATGAAGATGTTGGCTTTCCTCTCACAAATTCATGGACTCCAGTATTTTCCAGAGCTGAGGAATTAAGATCAAAAAGAGCAGCTAGCGGTAAGTTGTTAGGATGTGGTCAAAGATAAAACATTTGTTCACCAAGCTTGTGCTTTGTAGGTTAGTCCTTTGTCCCAATCTGTAATTAGAGCCTGCTTTGACCCTCTAATCAATGAGGGAAATCCGTGCGCTGGGGGACTCTCAGGCCTGTTTGCAGGAACTTTCCAAGACTACCGGAGGGGAAAATGCTTCAGTAGAGCAAAATGCTTTAACAGCGACAGGGAAACTGTTTCTGTTCCCAGGCCTGGGAAAGCTGTGTCTCTGGAAGCTGATGTCCCACTACTTTTGGACATTTAAACAGCGCCACATGTAGATCACCTATTCTGTAAGTATTTCTGTCATTTGGTAACATTGGCCTAAGTCATCTTCACAAGTGTTAGTGAGTGGGACCAAGGGCCTTCCTGTGACTTTTTTGGTGGCTAGAAAACAGTAGAGCTACCATCCTTGAGACTCAGGGTATGTGATGGTCTCTCTACCATTGGACTCTGGGGAGAGGGGAACTCACTCTGGGGAAAGTGACAAAGAATGATGATCTCCACTGCTGTCATTGTCATCCTGGTTAGCCACAGTTACGTGAACCCAGTGTCATTCAGTCTCAAGGTGACTTCCCCAAGCACACTCAGACCTATGCTCACTCTCTGGGCATGACCTTTGGATCTGAACATGATCATGCTATTTCTGTTGGAAGGAGTGTGGGAGAATGAGTGGGCTGAAGTTCAGGCCATCCTAGTATTCTACCTGTGTCTGAATCCGTTTTTAAAAAGCCCAAACAAGACTGAAGACATGGTGGACACCACCTAGGCAGCTACATTTTCTTGTAAACACCCTGTGGTTTGTTCAAGGCTTCCACCATATTGACCTAGGATGACTGAAATCTGCTCCTCATCATCTGAGAGGTGTGGCTAATTAGTGCTCGCTCTCTGGAACTCTCCCCTCTCCTGTTACACTCCAGACCTCTTTTTTTAGGGGAGGAAGGCAGAAGAGATGTAGGCATTGGCGCCAATCCTCCCCATTTACTCGTGCTCTTGGTGCTTCAGCCCTGCAGGGAAGGAGCACTGTGGCTTTACCTTGCTCAGTGAGCAAATGTCCCCGCTCTTACTAATGCTCTCCATGTCTTATTTCATAGGTCACAGAAATGGAAAGTGCAGCTATGTCATCGACTTTATTGCTTTTGTCCAGTTATGACAAACGTTCTCATCTGCTCCCAGACTCCCTTGCTAATGTGAGGTCCCCCGACCCCAAATAAAATAAGACCCTTTTTTCTTGTCAAAAACATCGCGTTGTGAGCACAGGGGCGTGGGGAGGCATGGAAGGCTGGGTGTGGCGCTCCGACAAAGGGGAACAATCAAAGTTTGATTTTTGCTTGCAAAACGCGTAGTCCAGTTGAAGAGACGTGTAATCATTTGGGGAATCGAGTCGGCTCTGACTCTTGGCTCCCTGCACCTTTTCATCATGTGGACGCCAGATAAAATACAGATGTTCGGGGCAAGCACAGCACCAGACTGTTTCCCTCTTGGCTTGTACTGCCTCTTAAAGCCCAAATGCCAGACCAACTCGTTTTCAGCCTTTTGGTTCAGCTATAATTCACAGAAGATATCCCAATCTGGATTGAGTAACTTTCTTAGCCTTGTGTCAGAAACAGCCTGGGGTCCTCTGGTTGTTGTCTTAGGAAAATCAGATGTGCAGAAGTGTCACAGTGGACAGCAGCTTCTTCTGAAACCAGCAGGGGACCTTCCTCATCTTGTGTGGCCTCCTACTGCTGCCAGTGTCTCTGTACAGAGTGGACCTTTGCCCCAAAATTTGAAAACACATTCATTTTTTCATAGTGTAGCTGAATGTGAGTCAGACCCCCCCATAAAAAGGACTTGGGTTTTAGCCTTCTCAGACATGGAGATGCCATAGAACAATATAATTATCTCAAAGGAAGCCCATAGTGGGACCACAAAGGTGGAGAGGCCAAATCTTAAGGTGCAAAGGCAGGAGAGTGCCTGAGGGTCCTGCCAGTCCCAGCTTTCATTCCCCCCCCACCTCCTTGAATATCAGGCTTCCCCCATATGCAGCTGCAGAGTGCAGCACCCCTCCCTACCCACCCACGCCGGGGGATAAAATCCAGGACCCCATGCACATTAGGTAAGTGCTATATCACTGAGTTATGTGTCCCCCTCCCAGATAGGGAGGACAGCTTTCAAAAGGCCAGGGCCAGCGCTCCAGCAAGCTTGTCTGCTTAGCATCAGTTCCAATGTGTCAGGGTCACTGAGAAGGCCACTCTGGGGTTGAAGGTTTCCTTTATTGTAGTGATACATGTGCACTGTAGAAGCTGTACTGAAGTCTTTGAGAAGATGGGAGTTAGGTCACACCACACATCATTCTTAGTAGTTCTCCCACCTCTAGATCGGTCCTGTCTTGACCTCTGCCTTGCCCTTGCTGGTCACACGCCTACTTCAGCTTCCTACTTTTGTGCTCCACAAGCTCCCCGATGCTGCAAAACGATGCTTCCGTACACTGTGAATATGCACTACTCCCATTGGTTAATAAAGAAGTTGAATGGCCTATAGCAAGGCAGGATAAAGTTAGGTGGGACAAGCAAACGGGATACTGGGATGAAGAAGGGCAGAGTTAGAGAGAGCAAGATGGACACTCTGTACTGAGAAAAGGTACCAAGCCACTTGGCAAAGCATAGATAAAAATTATGGGTTAATTTAAATGTAAGAGTTAGCTAGTAACAAGCCTGAGCTACTGGCTGACTTGGTGATTCTCCCTCAAAACATGTGTCTCAGAAACAATGCTGAAGAGGGAGAGAGGCAGAGGAGGAATGGAGCCTCCCTCTGCCAGGTACATACCGTTCCAGAGCTTGCCTTCCCCTCCTTGGGGCCAGGTGGGCCAGATACATGCCCCACGCCACAGCTGCAACCCTTTTTGACAGCTGCTGCATTGGTTGTAACCCAAGCCGGTGCAAGTCTCACAGGCTTGATGACAGGGCTTACACTCTCCCAACTCTTGGTCTCCATAGAAGCCAGGGCCACAATCGGGCACACAGCTGCCACCTTTGGAAGATCAGGGAAAGAACATGAAGGAGAGATTGAGCAGCTAGGCTTTTGCAAGGGCAGATATTGAAGGACTTTCAGGATTTTTTTTCTTGTGTGCAAACCAAGATGGTTTTTGGCTATTTCAATTGAAGACTATGTTCTAATTCATGCAATAGGCATTTTTTTTCTTTTTAAAGAAGTGAAGTATGAATTTGCCATCAATTAAGACCAAGGAACATTGAATAAAGATTTTAACACCTCCAAGACAATAAACACATAAAATGAGCCTATGAAGAAAACTGTTGAGGCACATGTCTTTAATCCTATCACTTGGGAAGCAGAGGAAGGAGAGTTTCTGGGAGTTTGTGACCAGCCTGGTCTACATAGCAAATTCTGGGACACCCAGGATTGCATAGAGACATCCTGACTCAGAGGAAGAGAAGAGGGAGAACAGCTGAGGGGCTGGGAAATGGCTCAGTAAAGTGGTTGTCTTGCAAGCATGAGGACCTGAGTTTGGATCCCTAAGACCTACACTAAAGTTAGGCACTATGGGTGTGGTGGGGCCCCTGTAATAATAGTGATGGAGAGATGGGAGGCAGAGACAAGTAGATCCTTGGTAGTTCATTGGTCAGTTAACCTAGCTTACACAGCAAAGTTCCAGGCCAGTGAGAGTGCCTGTCTCACACAAAAGATGGAGGCTACCCAAGGTTGTCCTCTGACCTCCACAAACATGCCACACACATGTTCATGCACAAGTGTATATACACATGGAGGGGTGGGGGCAGAGAGGGAGAAAACATGAACCACCAACTCACTGAGTATTGTCTGCAGTATTCTTCATTCACTCAAGATCACTGGGCTATCCTGTTCCCAGTTGGAAGACTCATAGTAAAATTATTTCCCAACTATAGATTTCCAAAAACCCCAAGACAAAGTATCTTGTTCAATTATATAGTGTACATGAGTGTGTAGCATGATTTTTTGAAAACATGAGGTTTTCACCTCAAGAGAATGTGACTCTGAGTAGACTAGCCCAGGGGATATGAGTTCTAAAGCATTTATTTCCAGGTCTCCTTCCCATATCGGTACCTACTTTTTCTACTCAACATCAGATACTTGAGATTAATTAGTGAAATGTGAACTACACTTCAATACTAAATGCAGAAGGAAGTAGTTCAGGCTAGTGTTTATTTTCAAACCACATTAAAATTCCTCCGTGGACCATTGGCGCCAGCACACAAAGACCCTGAAATCCATCACAGGAGTGCTCCTATTGCAGCGATGGCCTGCTGGGCCCCCACAGCCTTTTCTTCCCCGGGGGTCACCATTGTCCAGCTTACCCGAGAGAAAGAAGCCCTCCTCACACCAATAGCACTCATGCTGGTCACAGTTGCCGCAGTTAGTGCCACAGGCTCTGCATTCCCATTGTGTACTGAAGGTCTTCTCAGGGCAGGCTTTATAACAATGCCACTCAAACCTAGGGGAGATGATGCTGTGTTTCCATGAGACAGGCTGGGTTGTGCTAGGAATCGTCCCTGTTTGATCTCCTCATGATCATTTATCTGTAGCATGGTCTGTTGTCAAGGGAAGAAACCTGCACTTGATCTGTCCTGCCAATCAAACCAAGTCATTTGCTACCTCCTCTGGTCCCCTGAGGATCCCTTTATCTAGGGAGCTTGGAGGAGGCTGGGGAGGAGAGGGTCACTGAGACTGATTATTTAGTGCTGGATGCTAAGTATCAGTTCATTCAAATCTGTGCACAAATCCCATGGGAAGCCATTACTTATTTTTAATGTTACGTATAGGAAACAGTGTTCAAGCCTCCGGTGTCCAGCATCTCCTTAATGGTAGGACCAAGCAAAGTTTGTGGGAATAGATATCTTACACAGTACTCTTAGAAAGTCAGAGGTGACCCAGTGTTGAATTCAAGCAACTCACCAGAATGTCTGTGGCCAGATCATTAATAACAGGGGAGTGCATTGACATCATACATGAAAACACATCCCCATGCATGTACACATATGGACTTTTGTATAGATTACCCACTATGCTCACTATACAGCAAGATATTGTAACTCACTTGGAGGTATGTGAAGCTGACTCTTGCCCTTTGGAGAATTTCAAAGTTTCAGTAAGACACCAGGGAAAATATTTGCATTCCTTCTTCACAGCTTGTATTGTACAGTGGTGCTAAATAGTCTGAAATGTCATAAACGTGTGTTTCTTGAAACAGTTATCTCATGCTGTGTCTTAGTGCTGTAGGGCATGCTATTTCAGCCTATGCCTTTCTCAGAGGGTTTTATGAAACACACTCATTTGTGATCTGGTGAGTGTCATGTGTCATGGGGGTGGGAGAGGAAGCAGGTGTAGGGGAGGCATTTGTACAGGGTTCAGATTGAAGACTCAGTCTAGACAGAGTTGGATTGGAGAGACACAAGGCGGGGTGTGTCAGGGGAAAAAGGGTAAAATTTCTCATTTCTGTGTTCACTCTCTCTCTCTCTCTCTGTGCCTGTGTGAGGGAGAGGGAGAGGGAGAGGGAGAGGGAGAGGGAGGGAGAGGGAGAGGGAGAGGGAGGGAGAGAGAGAATGGGATTAAGTTCTTTTTCTTCAGTTCTTCGAGGAACACTGTGTGTCCTCCCCGTGTGACCTCACTAAGACACTCCTGCGTGTCTGTGACCTCACTAAGACACTCCTGCGTGTCTGTGACCTCACTAAGACACTCCTGCGTGTCTGTGACCTCACTAAGACACTCCTGCGTGTCTGTGACGTCACTAAGACACCCCTGCGTGTCTGTGACGTCACTAAGACACTCCTGCGTGTCTGTGGTAAATCTTTGCTGTTGCCCTTGGCTCTAGCTATTACATGCTGTCAGTTATCTTCTACTCATTAAATACCACTCAGTTTTATCTTATAATCACCAACCAGGGGCTTCTTCATCATCCCTCTATTTTTTAATGTGTTCTTTTATAGTCCTGAGAGTCAAATTCAGGACCTTGTAAAATCAAGGCAAGTGCCCTCACACTGAGTTGAACCCTTAGCCCTCCTGCTCTCTGAAAAAAAAAACTACATGAATGAGTTAGGATGATATGAGGACAAAGTCACTGTAGTGATGAGCCGTTCCAGAGAAGCTAGGTTACAAGCAGAAGACTAAGTAAAGGAACTGGGGAGTTGGCTCAGCAGTTAAGGAACACTGGATGCCCTTACAGAGGACCTGGGTTTGGTTCTCAGCACCCACACGGCAGCTCACCGATATTGATGATAGTCAATGCAATAGGGAATACAATATATTTTATTTACCAGAGAGAGAATCACACAAGCTGGGAGTCAGAAGTGTGGCTGGCTTCCAAAAGAGGAGGTCCTTTTTTCTTTCGTTTTCTTTTATCTCTACCTGTGCTAATTTACTTGTCCCTGACCTCATGGGTGGATAATATTGTGGGGTTCACTCCTATACACCACTGTTTATTACTCCAGTTCCAAGGGATCCTATGCCTACCTCCTCATGTGATGCACATATACACAAGTGTGTACAAGCAACACACACACATAAAGTAAAATAAAATAACATCTCTAATTCTCCCAAAACCTGAAAATGCTTCCAGATTAAGAGCTTTTTGAAACTGGCCAGTGGTGGCTCACGCCTTTAATCCCAGCACTAGGGAAGCAGAGGCAGGCAGATCTCTGTGAGTTCGAGGACAGCCTGGTCTACAAAGCTACATAGAGAAACCCTGCCTCAAAAAATCCAAAAGAAAAAAAAAGAACTTTTTGAGAGGCCAGGAAGTGGTAACATATGCCTTTAATCCCAGTACTCGAGAAGCAGAGGCAGGAGAATCTCTGTGAGTTCCAGGACAGGTTTCAAAGCTATACAGAGAAAAACCAAAAAATAAAAAACAAAATAAAGAACTTTGTGAGAGTTGACATGATGGTGTGATATGAAATTTTGTTTAATGCACAAAATTGTTTTTTATATATCATATAAAAGGATGCTCTGATTATGTACCTCAGATATATATGAAGCACGGATTCTAGTTTGAGACATGACTCCACCCAAGATAGTTTATTTATATGTAACCATTGCAATATTTGATAAAAATGTAAAATCTGAAATACTTCTAACAGCATTTTAGCTGTGGGGTTCTACTGGTAGCTCGGGTTAGCCCATCCTTTTGGTATACTTTATGCCCCCCCCCATTTGCTCACTGCTTTCACCATCTTCCCATCTACTAGCGTGTTCTGAGGTCCTAGAATCTGCCGGGGGAGATAATATGGCTGGAAGGTGGAGTTATAGGTCTGCCACTAGTTTGTGGTGTAGAGGGAGAGGGGCGCCTGGGCGTCTCTTTATCTTCTCTTTTGCTCTCCTGGACGTGATGGAGATCCCAGGTTTCTTACAAGCTTGGTGAAAGATGAAGAAAAGTGGATGTGAGAGCTGTGGGTGGTCGAGCAGGACCACGCAGCCTGTGTGTTATTCTGGCTTGCCTTTCCCTTTCATTTTTCTGTTTGTCTTGGTTTTCTCCTAGCACAGGCAGTAACACAAGCTGGAGGGGAGAGCAGCTAGGACAGGAGGTGATGTTGAAACATGCAGACTTGGCTTTTATAGATCGGTATGGGAGAATGTTAGTCTGATGCTTATCTGCATTTGACTTTAGCTCGTGGTCCATGTCTCTCATCACCCAGGGGGTAATTAAGAGGTGTCTCACCTGGCTTCCCTTGGCACATCTGACTCTAGTTAAGGACAAAGTCTCCCTGCGGACATTAAGAAGCAGCGTTCTTGAAGGCAAATATATCCTTAGAGCCGTGCATAAAAAGCAAGATCTGAATGTTGGTGACCCATGGCAAGATTCCTAGACACCAGTGTCAAAATGGATGACTTCCAGGATCAAGAAAGAGAAGGCTTGCTTTCAAGGCAAGAAAACATCTGGACTTTTACCACTAAATAAAAAACTCAGTCATTAATAGCCCACAGGACAGTCGCTTTAGGCTGCAGGGCCCCTGTTCTTTAGTCACTGGAGTTAAGATTAAGTCAACAATGCTTATGCTGTGAAAAAGTTAATGTCATGAATAAAGAGGGCCAGACTTACATGTAATATCCTGCAGCGCATGAGGTACAGGCTCCTGGATCATCTGGAAAATAAATATCACAATAATGAAAAATTATGATCGCTAGGAGTATTTGGAAAAAATGTACTTTGAAGAAGTTGCAGTTAGAGGCAGCTAATCTTCCAGGATATTTTTTTATGAAATGTACTGCCCAGAAATGATATTTGAACAAATCGCACCATTTTAATTAGTTACATAGAGCACACTGCAATTTATCTTTACCAAAGGTAATAAAAGAAGACTTACCATAAAAAAACATAAAGACAACAAAACAAAAAAACGTTGGCCCCCAATTTTCAAGGAAGAATAGGCCTAAATTACTGGGTCTTCAAATTTCTGACCAACCACCATCCTCGTTAGGAACCTCCAGACCTTGCGGCTGGGATCTTAGCTCAGAGTTAGAGTACTTGTGTTAAGACAGACCCTGTGCTTGGTTCTCAGCATCGTAGAAACAAATCCCAGGGTCCTCTTGGCTTCTTCTGAGGCTGTGCATCAGGCACATGAAAGTTGCTACCAGCTTCTGCCCCCAAGACACAAATTTCTCATACATTTCTACAGATGATCACCCATGGGAGCGAGTGTCACTGGGGAGTCTCCTCTGAAATCTGAACAAATACATTCCCCAATATGAGCACCCACTTTGTGTTTTCCATCTCATAACACTCTGAAAGAAGCTATTCCTTTCTTAGTAGTTGTAATGGCCCATGTGTCCCTCTTGGCTCAGAACAGGATTAGGAGGTTCAGCTAAGGAGGTAAGGTGTGGAGGTGACTGGCTCCCTCTTCTCTCTGGTCTCTCAGCGTTGTCTCTATATCTGACTCCGGGTTTTTATTATCTAGACAAATTAAGAACTCCATTTACAGTTACCACATTTGGTCTGTGTCCAGAAGGGCCCAGAAGATGCCCCTCTTGGATCTGATTACCAAGGGGAGTCTATTGCCTTTGCTGGCCTCAAGTTCTTTCAAGCAGAGATCTCTGACAGTTTGTACCACTTCCTGATCTACAAGCCAGTCTTGCTCCTTCCATTTGCACAGGAAATGAAGAACGACTCTCCCTAGAGGAGTCCTTTGGCATGTGAAGATGTTAATGTAACTTTAACTTCAGTTAAACCAAACAAGTACACCTTTTGAACTCAGTGAAAAAACTATCCTTTCTAAACTGTTCAAGGCTGCCTCTCTGCTTATCTGGAAACCTGATATTTGCAGGATAGAGACAGTCCCACTACAAGTCTTTATCATAGGCTTTCTGGACTCTGCCTAGTGAGGGATGCCACTTGAACCATGCATTACATGTTGTACTAAGACATGGTAGCAGATTTTAAGGTAAAACTTCTCAAAGAGGTTCTGCTACCTCAGAGATAAGCTGGGATCCTCAGAACTTTCTTGAAACTGCCTGATGATGGTTAGAGTAAAGAGAATTGGCCTGGAAGTTGGGATATCTTTTTCTAGTTTGAAAATTTCAGTTTTTGTTTTTTTTCTAGACACAGTCTCATTATGTAGCTCTGCCTGCCCTGAAACTCACTATATAGACCATACCGGCCTTGAACTCACAGAGATCTGCCTGCCTCTGCCTCCCGAGTGCTGGGATTAAAGTCACACACCACCACCACCGCCACTGGAATGTTGGAATGTTTTAATACAGTTTTAAATGTCTTGTAACGTTGCATAAAAATCTTCATATTTTCTAGGTCTTGGCTTTTGCAGGTACAAAATGAACTGGTTGAACAAGATGACTGGTAAGACTCTGAGACTTTAAGATTCCAAAACTGATGAGCCAGGTGTTCGTGGCGCACGCCTTTAATCCCAGCACTCGGGAGGCAGAGGCAGGCGGATCTCTGTGAGTTTGAGACCAGCCTGGAATACCAAGTGAGTTCCAGGACAGCCTCCAAAGCCACAGAGAAACCCTGTCTCGAAAAACCAAAAAAAAAAAAATTCCAAAACTGAATCTAGAAGAAGTTTGGAAACCCTGCTCCAATTGAGACCCAGACTCACTTTGCTCACTTTTTTTTAAAATTTATTTTTCAGTTTAAATTTAGATAAGAAACAAGGTCGCTTCACAAGTCAGTTCCAGGTCCCTCTCCCTTTCCCTCCCCTACTTCCGTGCCCTGCCCCCAATCCCCCCATTACCCCCTCATTTCCCCAGGGAGGGTGAGGCCCTCCATGAGGGTGTCCATAATCTGTCATTTCATACAGGGCAGGGTCTAGACCCTCCCCCAAGAGTTCAGGGACTTTGCTCACTTTTACACCATGGCATCAGCATGGAGTAGCTGCAACAAAGACCCAAGTTTGGGCTCCTTGCCACTTGGCAGCAGAAATTTGCAAACTCTGGCTATAGCATTATCATCCTGAGACTCCACTTTGCTCAGCTTTTCTTTTTAGGGTTAGAACCATATGTGTTTAGGAACCGTCTATTAAGTTTCTCATTGTAGAAGTTTAGTTGGAAGGGTTGAACAAGAGCCAAGTAGTACCTGCCTTTAATTCCAGCACTCAGAGGCAGAGAAAGATCTCTGTAAGTTCTAGGCTATCTTGGTCTACATAGAGAGATTCAGGCCAGCCAGAGCTACATAGTGAGACCCTGTCTCAAACAACAACAAGAAAGAACCAAAATAATCAAGAAGAAAGAGACCGTTCTGCAGGAGCCTGTGATGATGTGTTCTGGCAATGAATGAGCTTTAATGTCTGAATCAATGTAGTTTGTAATAAGGTAGACGAAAATAGGATAATGAAATGAGCCCACAACCAGGTAAACAAACTGGACCCAGGAATCTGAAGCTAAATGCTGGTGAGAAAAGAAGACTCCCTAGCCTTCTTGGAAACCCCATGGGGATGCTTTCTACTTTCATACTGTATAGAATGGGAACCTGAATATATTTTCAGAGATGCAGTCTTCAGTGGACACCAAGGCTAGTTCAGTTCTCACTAGGAGTCTATTTCTGCATTCACATCCTTTTCTGCCCATTTCCCCAACATCTTGCATGTACTCAGTTTGCCTCTGGGCAGCTCCATTTTCTCTGCCTATCCCAGTGAACATACTTGACTCTGACAGTTTTGCTAATTTAGCAAGGACTGGGTGAATTCTAATCCTGTTCGCTAATGTTCTGGTCATCTCTCCCATCTAGGAACTTAATGAGTTTGCTCTCTGTTCCTTTAAGCAAGTCACTCATGAAAATGTTAAATAGAATCAAGCCTCAGAAATGTGCATATCAATGTATTTGAGGGCAGGGACTTTTCCAGCCTGGTTACACAGGAAATTTGCTACCCTTATGACAGTTTGAACACATGAATAATGCAGACACTGGGAACTGAAGTTTCTAATAGCTTATGAATGCCTGTTAATTTTATCATTATTATTATTATTATTATTATTATTATTATTATTATTATCAGTTGATCTAAAGAATGAGAATTATTTTAAAAGTTTTTCCCACCTTAGAAGATCTACAGACAGACATAAACTAAATGGATTTAGCTTGACCATGGAGAGGCAGTTTGTTAGATTAAGGAATAGGGTAACAACCTTAAACCTGGAAGGTGACCCTAAGTCAACTTGGCATTCAATGGTAAGGTGGGGTGGCTTCCAGCAAGTGTTATCTGGGAGTTGGAAGGGGCAAGAGGAATTTAGAATGTTAACTGTTCTGGAAGATGTTGTCTGAAGTCAGATATTTAATCTGGTTATTTGATCTTGTCAAGTTTTTGAGTTGAGGGCATATTTTGATCAGTTAGAATTCAGAGAGAACCTCAAACATTTGGGGTCAAGGCTATCAGAAACAGTTGGTTACTTGTAGCTGCTCAGAGACCATGAAGGAGAAGCTGCCAGCCCAGCCTGCAGAAGATAGCACCTGACTTTTCTTTCCAGAGAAGAAGCAGGTTAATTGTCTTATTTTTATGGCAGAGAGTAGTAAGGAATATAGTGTCCACTCTACCTTGAGAGCTCTGCACCATTCTTCGGGTCATGCTTTAACTGTATCCTTGGGGAATTATTATTACTGGACTTCATCACAAACTCCTGTCTCTAAGGAAACTCGGGCAAATGTTCTCAATAGCAGCCCAGTGGTCAGTAACATTCTCTGAAGGGGATGTTTTATTTTCAGCAATGCCCACAGCCTTCCTCACTGACTGTAAGCTAATCAGGGCCATGGGAGGAGTTACACACACATCACTGTAGGCATCTGGTCTGTGGACCCGTACGGTGGTGGACACACCCCTTTGGGTGTGGCTTCAGGTGGATGGAATCGGAAAGAGAGGTGTGGCTTTCCTTTGCTTGCTCTTTTTGGTGGGTTAGTGGATCTGGTAGGAAGAGCAGGGAAAAATGCTCCAGTGGTTCTTTGTATCTTTCTGTGTAATTGCTCTTCAATAAACACCCATTTATCATTTATCTTGGATCTAGTCATATAATTACATTCTTGCCTTCATATTACCTGTAAGTTGCATTAGAAAGAAGGATCTTTTAAATTGACACGGAACTCTAATCATTTAAAAACTGTCCAAGGAATATCAACTTATTTTTAGAACTTTAGAAAACTTTAGGTTCTATAAGTAAGGAAGCATATAAATTAAAATACCATAATTTGTTTTTTCAATTTTTTCCTTACATGGTGATTTCTCATTTAAGTGACACTGGAAGCTCGGTATCTTAAGGGCTGTCTTTCACTATAAAATATGTGTTTCAATTAGCCATGGATTAGCTATTTGCCTAAGTAGAACTGACTCTGCACGATTGTGGGGGAAATACATGTCAGAGTGCTCTTTTTTCAATTTTAAAATTTAAATTAGAAACAAGGTTGCTTCACATGTCAATCCCAGGTCCCTCTTCCTTTCCCTCCCCTCCTCCTATGCCCTCCAACTAACCCCCCCCTCCCCAATCCCCACTCCTTTCCCCAGTCTGTCATTTCATCCAGGGCAGGGCCTAGACCCTCCCCCAAGAGTCCAGGCTGAGAGTGCATCTCTCATTGTGGGATGGGCACCCAAAGTCCATTTGTATGCCAGGGATAAATACTGATCTACTACCCAAGGCCCCATAGATTCCT